TCGATTTAATTAAAGAGCGTAGTAACTCTAAATTTATAATTAACTATATATATAAATTTAAGATTTTTAAGCTTAATTCTATTTTATTCTTTTATATATATTAATATATATATAGTAATATCGCTATTATATATTATATATAATAAGTATTAATATTACTATTATATAAAGTATTAATATTTAAAATAATAAAAATATTTATTAAGAATATTAAGAGTTTTAGCGTATATATAAAACTTTCGATATAGATCTCTATAAAAATCTATATTATAAGATCTTTCTTACTCGTTAAGATATAACGTTCTATTTAAATATTTATATCGTGAAATAAAAGAAATATTTATCGACAATATACCTATCAGTTAGATATCCACTATGCTAAGGCCTATGCCAAGTCGGGTGGCTGCGGGTATAGCCGGTAGCCACATTAGTGTGGACGGGGGACTGTCGGAGGGGGACTGTCCGAAGATAAGTTGCTGCCTCGAAGTCTAGTACTATAAGCACAATGATCAAAGCCGATACTACATTGTCGTCTCTTGTCTTCCTATCGCTGGTTGTGGTCTAAGGGAGGCGGAGTTGTTACATAGTACCTTAGTAGAGGGGCATCAACTCCGCTTGATGCCATCTTGCTCTAAGTGGGTCGCTTAGCACAATGCGCTAGTCTCCTCGACGTCATTTCCGAAGGGCCGCCGACGGTCTAGATTTTTCTCCCAAGCGGAGCAAACTTTTGTGCCACCACCGTGCACACCACATGAAAAAAAAGAGAGTTCCAACCTTACTTATACTCTTACTCTTAATCGTACTCTGTGTTTATGATGTATTTCCCTTCTTCCTTCGGCCGTCCTGCCGTGCACGGGACAACAGCGTTGAACTCACTCGAAATTAGGGAATCCTTTTCAAGACTTTCAAGTGTCCAAATAGAGCATTCAGGGGGTCATCATTGCTCGGACTTGGAGGAGATGGCGTGATCTAGGTGATGTACTACTATCAAAGTCCAGGGGTGGTATGCGTGGCTTCCGTGTTCTAGCGCCGGAGGATGGCATGAGAAGTCGTCGCGTCTTTCCCAAAACAATCCTCCATTCGACACTTAACGTCGAAATGCCGAATCCCACTCCCTCAAACTACCAATTGTTTAATTGGGTGTCGGCGGGTAATGTATGCATTGACACGTGTGATAGGCCGATGGGTACTCTGTGCAATTTCATCCCGCAGAATCTCAGGGGGAATCAAGCAAAATGCTTGGCTCTCAGCTGAAAAGGTACCGCCCACTTTCGTTTCCAACCGGACAATAAGGGTGTGTCGCTATCCAATTATATGCTGACACACTGTTTGTGCACCGTCCTAATGCGACATGGAGGGGTGCAATGCATGGAAACATGCACGGAAAGAGTGGAGCATGGAGAGGGGTGCGCCGCCTGCTATGCAAATGGTGAGATCTGACATTCGTTCAAATAGTTCGCTGGGTGCTGCTCGCTGCTCGCAGATTTTTTTCTCCTCGTGTTTCGTTGCTCACCAGATTGACCTTCGTCACCCACGTTCCTTACCAATCCATCTCTGCGAGTCCAGAGATAATCCACTCATTATAACTTGTACATTTTCGCTTTTTGCTCCAACATATCGACTTCTAAGCCTGGTGCCAAGTTCCGTCTTACTTGCAAAGCATTCTTTACCACCCTTCAAAAGCCTCTGCCGTCCTTCTTCAAGATGAAGACAACCTACGCATACGCGAGCATAGTCCTCGCCCTCATGAGTTCTGGCAATGTCCTCGCTCATCAACACCACCACCACTCCAGGGAGGTGGAACAGCCAACCAGCTCCCTCTCTCTCTCCGCGTCAGTAATTGCCACCACCTATCCTACCGCCTCTGCGGCTGCCAACTCCACCTCTGGGGGCAATTCCACCACGGGAGGCAGCCCCATCACGGCCGGTACCTGCAGCAACTGCGACGGCGTCTGCGTTACCTTCGGCGCCACCAACGACGACCTCTGGTACTGGTGGAACGGTGGGCCCGGCGGCGATGCCTCCACCTTCGCCAACAACCAAATTGGCACCATCTGCCTCACCGACGCCGGCGCCATGTTTGTCGGCAGCTCCAGCAACGTAGACTCGGGGGGCGGCAACACGAAATTCGAATGGTCCATCGGTGCCAGCACGTCCAATTTCGATGTCAGTGTATGCGACGGCTTCAGCGTGCCCATGTCCTGCACCGGCTTCGGCGGTAACGAGAGTCCTTATGTCACGATCGGCGGGGGCGACTTATGCGCCAGCGATTGCCCAGCCGATGATCAATTTGACGGGAATTGCAGGAACTTGGGGGCACATACCGGGAATTTGGCCGCAGTGCCTGGTTGTTTTCAGGAGGGGGCTGGGGCGGAGGGAAAGAGTGGGACGAACAATTATTGGCTGTATGACAACTATTCTGTCCAGTCCATATTCACCGGCAGGACTGGTGTTGTCTGCACCGTCGGTGGATCGAGCTCCAAGACGAAGCGGGACATGAGACAGAGTGCGGCGGAGTTGGGGCCAAGGGCGAGCATGCATCGTCAGCATGGACGCCACCAGAGGCGTGCGCATGGACACGGTCTACACGCGGTGTCTTGAAGGGATAGAATTCGAGGGCTAAGCTGTGATTGTGGTGCCTATGGACATATTTCGCTTCTACTACTACTCTTCGGCTGGTTTTGGTGTATCTTGGATCACTTTGATGGGGAAGGAAATGGATATCATACATATGCTTAGATGTCACGCTCGTTATGGGATCGCAAGCCCATCTTCTTGTCGCGTTAGAATACATATCGTGATAGTGGAATGACTTCACGAGACTGGTTCATAGAACCACGGCACTCACGAAATTATAAATGATACAACATTCAGCACCGAAGAGGTAAAGGAGGCATGATTGGCTTAAAGCTTTGCCGCCGACGTAGACAGAGACTAGCCTCGAGGATCTCAATTCAAGTGCCAAGAGCTTCCGCCGGCGGAATTGAAAGCAACATCAAAAGTTGATGTTGCTTAGGATTAGGGTTACATCAACAGTCCAATCGCGTCCAATACAAACCTGACAGGCGATACTTTCGCTACGCCATGCTTACGCTTACAGATCTCTGACAGAATCCTTTTCTCAGGTATAGAAAGATTTAAGGTTCTTACCTCTTATTAGAGCGCCTCGAATCGATGTTTCATTCTAGTCTTCGCAGCATTCCCCTGAGTTACAGATCGCCAGCGTAGGCTTCATACGTCGTAGTCTCCACCATGCCTCTCGTTCTCTCTCCAGCAAGCAAAGAAGACATTCTCCGCGTCGTTGAAATCGTCTTCTCAGCCTTCGCCAACGACCCACTGCTCATGACATGCTACCTGGCAACGCCGTCAAACCACACGTGATGACTTCAGACAATCTTGGACCAAATGCAGTACCCCTCAACCATCATCATCAAGATAGCCGCCGACAAGAACGGAGAAACAACTCATTTGCAAAATGGTTGATCCAACAGTAATCGAACGAAGGTGGTCATGGTGGAGGAGCTTCGGGTGCAGTGCAGCCCACAAATCCATCTCCAGACATGAATGTTTTAACTTGCCAGAGCCTGACAGAGGCGCAGTACAAGATGCGCACAGCACTGATGTCCACCTGTTCCCACATCTGTAAGTAAGAGTCCTCCAGTCTCAGGTCCTAGATACAGCCCTGAGCAAAGACAAACCAAGGGTAAAAAGCGTTGGCGACATTTCCAATTAATCAGCGCCGCGGGGCGGCGACAATGCTTGTGCAGCGAGGTACGCGGAAGGCGCAGCGAGAGAATCTTGAGTGTTTCAGCGCTTGCACACGCGACGCAAAGCCTAAAATTTGTCGAATTTTGGAGCGCGCTGGGTGGAGCATGAAGGGGTCGGAATTTGTGCTGCCAGGGCGGGACCCCGGCGTATTTAGGGCATGGAGGGGATCTACATGAGCGCAATTAGCCTGAGTCTTTTCGCAGACCAAATTCGGCCGGCCATTGTAACTGAATATCCCAGACAGGGGAGATGATTCGCAGAGCTGTGCGTGACGGAGCTTATCTATGACTTGTTGATACTAGAGCACGAGTTTCATTGGAACCTTCGGCGCCCAGCAGAATAGCTGATGTGTACTTGCAAAAAGTTTTAGGGCTGAGTTCTTGCATGAATCGGTTGCGCAGCGCGGCGGTGACAGTGTGTTGATTAAGCGTTAGCGCGTGAAGCGCTGAGACTTACTTCTTGTTTTCTCTGGAGCTAAACGCTTGAAGGCATAGTGAGAGACTCGCTGTCGGTTATAACCCATTCTCGCACCTCTTATCTGGCCTCAAGAGCCTTCAACACTTTCTGGATGGGACGACTTATTCATCCGGCATAGTTAACAGGTTCACTTTTCAAGAACCAACAACAGGATTTTAGCATCACGCGACGAACTTCTGCAGAAGCGAGAAAATACTTTTACCGAGCGGTCTTGATAGCGTACAAGTAAGATGAAGATTCATTCTAGAAGCTCGTGCAACAGGAACAATTTACCTTCGCAGTGCAAGCTTAATCCAATTCCGTCTCGAGCCTCTAGTAGCCTTTTTCAATTATGATGGAATTCATCAGGGTACTCCACACTTCACTCCCTTTCTCACAAGGACTTTGCCTACCCATATAGCAAACTTGCTGTGTGTTGCCGCTTGACCTCGTTCGCACATAGAGAATTTCCTAGCACTAGAAATTTCTGAGCGGACCTCTACCACCAATTCAGACATACTGTACAGATGACTAACAGCCCCCGTACTTCGAGTGTCTGCGTCACTGTCTTCCGGCTGAGTCTTTACTGGCAAAACATCATAACCCCCATTCCATTTTACAGCCAGTCAGCTTTGGCCACATTTAGTTTGCCTTCCCATGGTTTGATGTTTGACGATAGTTGCCAAACAGCCCTTTTCGTTCCGAGATTCTTTTTCACCAAGTTCTCTTCAGGTTCTTCAGTCAAGAACCAGCTTATCACTGCATTCACCGTCATCATGACTGACATGCTGCCTATCAAGACTGCTCAATTAAAGTTGCCTGACCAAGACATCATCAAGGAAATGATTCGCATCTATCAAGAAGCTTACAAGAGCGATGAACGCGTTCAGCTTAAGTACATCTTGCCAGAATACATGGAAAACATGGCAGAGACCATTGCCAATCGTGTTAAAAGGGCTACATGGGAGTTCATCGTTGCGACAAACGAGAGTTCAACTCGAATCCTCGGATGGCTCGCACTAGCCTTCAAACTTGAGAACGAGAAACAACTCAGCGAAGAGCACGTGCTGTTCGTCCAATACGCTCTGCTACCGGATATTGTAGTGAAAGGCAAGAGTCAAGGTATCGGTTCGGACGAAATGGGGAAGATGGCACGCTCGCTGCTTAAGGACTTCAAAGATGCGCGAGAGAGACAATTGCCTGATAAGCATTGCATCCTTAGCACCCTCGTTGTGGATCCCAAGTACCAAAACAGAGGCATCGCGTCAGCGTTGCTCACGAAAGCCATCAATCGTTCCGAAGTCTGTTCATTCCCAATCTGGGTGCAAGCTCCAGAAGCCTGTCAGCCTCTTTTCACGAAACATGGCTTTGAGGAAGTTGACGAGTACCAACTCGATCTGGATAAATTGACGCCGGAGGGAAAAGGCAAGAAAAAGGCTGTTTCCATTCCGGGGAAACACGTCTGGAAATTCATGGTCCGTAAGGAATCTCTGGACCGGGAGATTGAAGCATACAGATCATCGAAAATGTTTCCAGCGGATGAGGCAAAGCGGGTCGAGGCAGAGCGGAAGGCTGAAGAAACACGGCTCGGGAAGGGTAAACAGCCGGCATATGGAAAGCGTATGCTCGGGTGGATTTCAAAAGCCTTTGCAGAGGGTGAAGCGGAACCCGGACCGACAGAGCCACTACTTGGGATTGACGAGAGATCAGCGGGTAAAGACAGACTGGCTGCTCGAAGTGATGCAGAAGTGGGTCCCTCCACGCCGCTGCTCACTAAAACAAGTTCCAAGCGCGATCAGAAAAAGGCGCAGAAAGAAAAAGTGGTGGGAGATGTGATCAGTGGGGAGAGCGTGGATGCTCATATTGGTGCAGAAGCAGGCCCCTCCACGCCGCTGCTCACCAAATCAAGTTCCAAGGGCGGTCAAAAAAAGCCGGCGAAAGAGCAAGTAGTAGGAGACGTAATGATGTCTTGAGACCGGCCGAGTTGTTTTAGCCTACTGAGTAGACGGACTGTGATTTACTTCAATATGGTAACGAGGAGCAGCCTTTTTGTGTTTCTTCACAAACATGAAGGCTTGGGCATGGGCTTTGATGCCGATCAATGATTCCTTTGTGTCCTGACACGTATCCTTGTCTCTGTTACAAAATTTCTCCTTCAATCATGGAAAAGCCCCCATGAACGTCACGTTACAGTCTTTCTGTAGCCAGGTTGTAGCCATCTTGAAAGATGGGGTCATGATACTCATCCAATGAATGGTCTCAATCCATCTTCCCTGAAGCTTCTCTTCGGCAACTAATGTAATAGCAATGGAAGGCCATGATTCTTTCGTCTAAAGTCTATCTTGCGTGATGCCTTGCGAGGTACGATTTTACTGCGGCCTGAAATCCAGGGATTGTTGATGCGTATCCCATATCCTGGCAGGATTCTCGTTTCGGGGGTAAAAATTGTGGGGACACCTTAGGGGTCGATCACCCAACTTTTGTGGTCGGGTGTCTAACCCTTGGATGATTTTTGGGGCACAAGTCCCCAAAGACGGGCTTCAAATTTTCCGTTTGTAACTCATCATAAGTTAACAACGACCGTGTTCACAAACCAAATATCAATTACATATATGTTATCTATCAAAGTACTAAGAACCCTGTGGTCAAGAGTTTTGTTGTATTTTTCGTCTTACTTCTGAAAATATATCGCATTGCACAACGTAAGGTCTCTTCGATTTCTATGCCAAGACAAAGAGAACTCCTCACTGCCAGGACCTGAGATACGAGGCTCAAGATGATAGATCGTAGATAATGGAATTATTCATAGGTTTCAACATGAAGATTGTCCAAGAGATCATGGTTTGGGTTTGACTTTGAGGTTTGATACAAATACTTATTAAAAAAACAGTGCATACAGCATCGCGTTCTCATCCGTCGAAGTTTTAATAGGAATACATACCATTTTGTCCGTTAGCTCTGCTAAGATTCGCCTCAAGAAACATGAAGTATCGCGGTATTTACCATGAAGTTACTGGATGGCCAGGCTTATTCTGCCCAGGGAATAAGCAGCGGATGAGGCTGCCGCAAAGAGACACCCATATTCCAAAATCGACGATCCGCCCACCCACAACTTTTCGGCACCTCCTCAAACCCCAACTTTTCACCTAGGTGCGTAGTCAAGAAGATTCTCCACTTGCGGCCACAACATCCATCCAAAGTTATGCGCACGCCCAAGGATCTAGCGCTTCGAGATCTACTTTGCCAACCGCGTTCCCCAGGTCCTGTTTCCTAGCCCACTGTCTCTTGCACCAGCAACCACTAGCCAGCCGGGCGCTCTCCACGAGCTACTGAGACTAGTTCTTCGTACCCGTACTGTCAGAGGGTCTCCATGATCTCGGCCACCTTAAGGTTTTTGGGGGGCACTAGCGAGGGACTTCCATATTCTGCAGCAGGCGGTACTCTATGCACTTACCACAATCGCAACAGTGGGACTGTGGGTTAGTGGGTCCATTATGAGGCCATAGCGTTGGTAGTTGTTTGATCAACCGTTCCATCATTATGCGATATGCGATAGTAGGGAGACAGGTGACCATGGCGAGTACTATTTGTATGGCCACTGCACCAGTAGTGAGCTCTTCATTCGAATTATTCTCTTTCAGAGCCATATCATTATTCTCCATCCCACCCACACCTATATATAGCTTCATTTTCACTCCAGGGCATATCGCTCAGACATAAGAGTTTTTCTAGCGCTGAAAGGCCTTTTCTAGGCTATTTGCATGTCCAGAAAGGTCTTAGCTACCCCAGTGTTGGATATGCCCAATCATATATCTACATATCTACTTGTGCATGCGTTATTTCTGTATGGCCTCACTGTTTGCGAGCACTAATTCGGCAGCGTAGCCTTGATGCTTGGGCAAAAGCTGAACAATCGACCCGTCTTTTGCGTACTTCATTTGCTCATGCCTTCCATCGGACATGAGTGTTCCCCCGGCTCACACTCCTCACAGGTTCTTACAACACACAGTCGGCACGAGGGTCTGACATCAGCTTCGACCGCTTGTCCACATCTTGAACAAAAGCCCAATTGCACACCTTGACTGGTCAGATATGCCGAGACATCTCGGCGATGAGGGATGCTGCCAGGACCAAAAACCTTAGTGCTGAGTTCCCTCTCTGATGTCATGACCGCGTCCATCATGGGGAACCAGCGAACATACTTGCCTGCGTTTGCTCCCATAACGGGTGATGTGATGCGAGCTTGGTCTTGAACTCGCAGATATATAAGGCTATTTGACCCGCCTATTAAGGAAGATTTGATGCCCTCTGATTCGATTAGGTTGCGAAGTATACGGCCAATTTCACGAGCACGCTGTGGCCACTGTTCCTTTTCCGCTAGCACAATCGTTCCCCATGAGGTGAGCAGGCTCGCCGCAGGTGCCATCTCCGTAAGCCGCTCTTGCCATTGAAGCGCTATAAACAGGCGTTCTTCTGGATCGGTAACTTCCAATTTTTTCATGTTGACGCCTCGCCAGTCGACGGCAATGCCGTTTGTTCTCACAGCCTTTCCAAACAGAACAAGGTCAGGGACCCCATGCTTTTGGAATTGTGGTAGCTGATAAGCGAACGGTGCGCCGCAACGAATTGCGGTCAACGCTTCATCGACGACTAGTACCAGATTATTCTTTTCGCAAGCTCTCAACAGGTGTCTCCATGCTGATTGACTGATAACCACTCCGTCACGAGCGCGAACGATCTCTGCTATCAGTGCCACACATCCCGTTCGCTTAGCTTTTCTCACCTGGTCATCGATATTAGCTGCGTTGTGGGTCTTTATGACAATAGGATTTCTCCCGTTTGCCAGGGGTCTGACGAATTCCAGTACTGAGTTGTGTGCCAGAGGCCCGTATCCTGCTCCATAAGACCCCTCTAGGATTGCGACACAAGGGTTGGCTTTGTCTGCTTCCTCGAGAAAAGGACTGCTCCCATTTGTGGAGCCACGAGAGGCAAGATGGGATATCAGACTCGTCAAGAGCGCAGGGCTAGACGCGTCACTTACGTGGCCGTGCAGGCTGATTGGTTCCGCCGTGAAGAAACGCCGAAACGCGTCGCGATACCGGTCACCAATGTCGTGGATACGATGCTGAAGCATGGTTGGAGACTTATTCAGAAGAGTCCAGTACCTACCAACGTCTTGGTCAACACTATCCAAGACTGGATTTTTGTGACTTAGAAACAATCCAAAGGAATGATGAAAATCGAGATCAGGAAACTCCTCTGGACGACACTCTCTGCGAGTAGTACCCACGTCATCCTCGCCGGAACAGGGGCTGCAGTGCTCAGCAAAGTTGGCTTGCTCTTCAGGCTGGAACTCGCCTTCGTTGCAATGACGATCGCAGTAGGGACATTTGTGCTGGCTCGAGCGAAGATTATAGGATCCCTGATTATTCTTCCGTCGCAAAGTGGTCCTCTGGAGGCTGCTGGAACAACGTCGCTCTGTATTCGGGTGCTGTTCTACTACCAAGCGATTGGAGGTTCCGCGGGCCTGCCGCGTACGTTGGTGAGGCTTTCGAGAGTGTCGCTTTACGAGAGACATTCCGCTTATAGGTTGTAGGTGCTTGTCTCCAATCGTTCTCGCAGTTATCTAATTGTTCAGAAAGGATCGTACTCACTTTTGTTCCCCGCTCCATAATTAGCTATCCCACGAGATCAGCGCCGCTGCTTTTCCTTTTGTCCGTATCGTTGGCTAGGACAATGGAAAGTCGCGAGTAATTAATGCCAATAGCTTTGTCCGCAGTCTCAATCCTAAATTTGAAGCTGTTCGCATTGTCAACCTCCGCCAAACAACAAAGAGGACTTTCACCGATCTATTTAAAGACATAGATAGAACATGGGAAAACCACCCGAGTAGGAAAACCGACGTAATGAATACATCGCTCAAGGTTCTTCTGTAGATCTTACCTGAATTTCAAGAAAGTCGAGGGATGTAGAATTGAAGACTAATATAAGTACAGCCTTACCGCCATCGGAATTCTTAGGAGTAAGGTTTAGATTCAAACCAAGAAAATTGAATCTCTGAATAAACCGCCCTTGGGTTTCTCCTTCGGATGCAGCCTTGCAATGGCAGCAATGAACACTGGAACATCTCCTGAAGTAATGTTGTGGTAAAAATTCTCTTCGCAGCACGTTAGGACCCTGCGTAGTATGGTACATACGTGTTCCAAGGGAGCTTAGGGAGCTCAGGGACCATTACTCATTCATCTTGCACCCCACTCAGTTTATCCTACCTGAACACCTTGACAACTCTCGCATTCCCACCACAGCTGACTTTTCCCAGAAGGATTTGTGTGGACCCTACATTTCCCTCCCAAACAGTATTCCTCGCATTCTGGCCCGACGGTACTATTGGACCCAGTGACGCAAGGGAGAAGTGCGAACTTTTCTTTCGGTTAGGCGACGCTGACGACGGAAGATGGGAACGGTGGCGGAACCCAAATTATTGAAGTGACAACTTCCCGGGGAAGGAGCGAAGGATAAGTGGTTCGTATTATTATTTCGGTGATGACAGCTGGAGGGTACAAATGTTGGGTGGATGTGGTTGTCAGTCGATCCATGGTGGCTAGCGATTCGGCGGGTGCTGGACCTGATGTCGTTGGTGCTGAAGTGCGATTCTCGCTACTGGAGCTGATCGGTGACCAAATTCCCAATCCAGCGACGAGGCTAAGAATCGCATCTGGGTTACGATTTGCAGAGAGGCTGGGTGTATGTGCCGATGGTGAAAACCTCGTTACTGATGTCGGAAGCACCGGACGGCGTCAACGAAGACGTATCTGTGATGGCGCTTCTTGTAATTGTGGATATTACATCTGGTACAACACTAACTAATCCTAACCAAGCTCGTGAGCTTGTGGCACTCGCGGGAGTTTGTGGTTTTTCAGCCTGGTAAGTCGAAGCTGTTGGTGGATAAGACTGCAAGCAGGCATCAAGAGACGATGTTACCTCTCGTTTGTTCCTTGCCTTACGAGCGGCAATCGCACAGGCAGCTCCTGTTCTGAAATCAAAGTCGTTGAAGACAGCTAGCGGTCCACGGTTCCTCGAATATACCTTGCTAACAATGTAATCCTTCACATTTTGGCCAACTTGACCAGGAACCAGAAGAGATGGAACGGTGGACATGAAGTACGCAGCGAGACCAGCGACTTGTGGCGCAGCGAAAGAGGTACCGACCCGATAGTCCTTTCCGGTGGTTAGAGAGTCTGCGCATGTGATGCCTGTAACTCGAGTGCCCGCTTTGACTGCGGCTGGAGCACAAACCGTGACAAGAGGACCGCCTTGTGAGAATCCCGTTGCAGTCCCATCAGTGTACACAGCACCAACGACAATCAAGCCCGTAAGGGTATCCGCAAAGAGGGCGGGGTACTTGCTGACTTCGGCGTTGTTAAGCTGAAGAAATTTAGCCCCTTGCTTCCTCGTGCCTATCTATCGTAGGATCCTCGGCCGTGCTAGTTTCATTTCAAAGGGGATAATAATCTATGAGAAGATTCAACTGACCTTATCGTTACCGCTCGTTGTCACCACCACAACGTCATCATTGAGAAGGCTCTCAACAGCAGTTTTCATGGCAGCAATTACACTCGCGTCTGTCAGTGGCAGTCCCATTGACAGGTTCACTACAGTTTTGCCTTTTAAATTTTCTCCATTCGCCCTTTTCTTCAAAATGTCCTCTCTAACCTTCTCTAATAAATAGATGATCCATCCCGCCAACGCAGTGTCAGTACTCTTGACTCCGACTTTAGCAATGACAATGTTGACCTTCTTGGCCACTCCGTAGGTTTTGCCAGCAACTTAGAAAGTACACAGGATCCGTGATTTTGTTCGTCCGTTTCGGTGCTGGGTACTGATGCGTGCTTTAGCCAGTATTCCTCGTCAATTTCCAGCCAGCGCTTAGTGCCAAGCATTCCTATGTACTCAGGATTCGAAGGGTTCGTACCGCTATCGATGACATATACAGTAACACCCTCTCCTGCAGCCGAGGAGTACGCATAGTAGGGCACCACATTACCGCCGAGGTCGTCCTCGTCTCCACGAAGGTCAAGACCGACACCTTTGGGCTGTGATACAAATCTGAGCTCGGGCGGTGCGGACTCTTGTTTCCCGTCCACCTCTTCACGTTTCGCAAGATCATGCTCAAAGATACCCTGATCTCTATTTCCAGCTCGTCGATGTAAGGATGATAATAACGTTCCGGCAGGAGGATCATCCCATATCGTTTGCGCTACGTCGGCCACAACAGACTCAACCTGTAAGATAAAGTTATTGTTAGCTGTATCTCTATAGACAGATCTGCAGCGAGTACCCCGACACATGGAATGATTGCGTCGATCTCGTCATGTCCCGTAGTAGACTAGTATCGCGAGCAGCTCTGTGTTTAGTATCCATGCATGCATGCTATAAGAAGGATTCTCCATGAAATACTTACATACCTTGGGATTTAGTGTCTGGAGGTCTGAGGCGAATATTTCGCTCGAGTATGCAACATACATGACTTGGTCACCAGCGTCATTTAGAGAAATTGGTAATACATTGCCGGCCCCTAGTTCATCTGTGAAGTATTCCGTGAGGGCAGTCAACTCGCTAGAAGTTATGCCAGCCGTAGGGAAGATCATGTATTCGCGTGATGAACCACCGGACGTACTAGGAGTAGTATCTGAGATGGTACTCGAACCTAAAGAGGAAATTGAGGTCGGCATAATGGTTAAAGTGGTAGGTTCCTGGGACTTTTTCTCCTCCGATGTTGGAAGGGAGCAAATATTGTCATCTTCACAGACTTTACTGTCACCACCTTCGCCATCAGCGCTTTCCTCGGTAGGTATACCATCCAGTCCAATGATGAAAGGAGGCAGCGGGGCAAAGTCGAACTCGGACCCACATCCGAATACTGAGCCGAAGATTGAACCGGATCCGCATCCCGTGCGTCTGGGATCTGCTTGTGCGCCTCCTAAACCAGCAATGACAATACCATGGTGAAGACCCCCGCAAACTTTGCAGCCGACCAAGACAGGGCGGATGGTACCGTCTATTAAGGTCGTGGTGTCTGTAGTCCAGTCACTATTCGACGCTGTTGAGGTGAAGTACGCCGATGGGGGAGATGTAATGGTTGTCGTTATCGGCATGCTGTAAATATCTGAGGCACTAGCACCTGTCGATGTAGTTGAAAGCCACGCAGTAGTGTGCGTAGAGAAAGAAGCTTGGCTTGTTACACCCGAAGTCAAGTTGGGTGATAAAGTAGCAGATGTATTCAAGGCGCTCGGTGCCGCTGCAGTGCTAAGCGCAGCCAAAGGCGAGAAAAGAGAAGATCTTGAGAGTAATGTTGAGAAGGACTTCAGTGCCTGTGAAGTATTGGCCAGGCGTGTCGCCTGAACGGGAAAAGAAGGACCAATTGGAGAATACCACTCCGGGCACTCTGGGCAACCCAAGAGCTTCCGGATCCCGAGACGGATGGTCCATGGATAGAGGATGTTTCACCTGCAATGGTTGTGGAGTTTCTAGCAGTACTATTTGAAGGGCTGTGTGAAATTACAATCTTAACAGATGAGGTAGTTTTGTAGGCCAAATGGGAAGTAGCGGCAACTTCCATCGCTCTCCCCTGGAACGTCAACGAGTAATTCGACGATGAAGCCGTGGGCGGTAGACTGGACGCCGCCGGCCATTTCGTAGCGGAGGAGATTCCAGAGGCGCGACTTGGTACTCTCTGTAGCGGGTAATGCTTGTCAGTGGAGCTCTCTTTGAAAAAACCAGCATTTTGCGACTCGACCATCTAAAAGGCCACTTACTAGTCGTGTGGCAAGACTAGCCTTGAGATTGGTCAAGTTGACTGCATTGGATGTATATTCATGACCCGCAATCGTCGTTATGCTTCGACCTGGAACATCAATATCAGCAAAGATTCCTTTGATTGGTGAGCTATCTGGGCGATATACTGTTTCTATGACTGTCTCTGGCAACGTTCTCCAAATTATGAGAGGCCGCTGATACCGCTTGAAATCTTTTGGGGTTCATCTCTCCTGAATCTACCCTCAGGATGGTCATTGTAGATCGCATAAACCAGAGCAGGCGCCAGATACAGCAAAGATCGCAGAAAAAACATAAGTGATAAAAAAGAAGCAACCAAGAAAGGTCGAACAGTATGTGAGAGATGGCAACAGCAAATGTGACACCCATACCTATTGCTTTATATATGACTATTCGTAGTTTAATAATAACACTAAGATACTAGATTAATACAGCGAGCTGACCAGAATTGAGTGCAGTCCACTGCTCTTAAACCCAGACGGTAGAAACCTAGCCATACAAAACAACAGTAGCTTGTCCCCACTCCCTTGAGCGTTGTATCACTATCCTTAGCGATCCCGGATTTGGTCGCACGGCTCGTAGAACCATTAGAGAAAAGCTGGACAGTCCTGGAATTCGTCTAGTACTCTCGGGCAATTAGCCATTGGTCCTGTTCAGACAGCAGAGGTGCCGCTACAGGCGTGTTAATGCGCATGAACAGTGGCGCGACCATCATGCATGCACATTTTCAATCGCCTTCTGTCTTGTCCAAAAGACTGCATGATTGACACTGACAGGACACAGCCAAAAAGCTTCTTGATGCATGGCGGTCAGGATTTCAGTACCGCCGTTGCAGAGTCTTGAGTCCGGGCATTGACAGTTGAGTGATGAAGCCCCGACGCAATAATATTTCCAAAGTGAAGTTTTGAAGAGATAAAAACTTAGAAATAAATACGAATGTTGGCTCTAAAAGTGTGCTAGCTGCAATTGGTGAAACCGAGAAGAGCCGTGACTACCACTAGCGTGAATTGCTTAAGAGAAAGCCTTACCGTCACGTGAAAAGGATACTTTCTTTCTCGTTGCCTCAACTAGTGATGTGATTTTGACTTTGCAGTAATTACACTTTACAGTAATTACACGTGTAATTACTGTAAGACACATGAGCCTGACGGTCACGCTAGTAGGGCACTAGTAGGTACTTAATATCTGGCCTGAAAGCCTCCTATTGGGAGGTACCATTTCCGAATAATGGCTACATTGGGGCCTTGGGGGTACTCTTGCGAGATTTCTGCCATGGCGTATTCAAGAAATGAGGCTATACACATCTGAGGTACGTGTGTGACGTAATAGGACGTCTTCCAATGCCTCGCCCGCCTTGATATCGGACTCATCGTCGTCAGCCAGCATGCCTGTAGGCTCCGGTGCAGGTAGATAAGCAAAATTTCTCCGCAGAGAATTGCCAAGACCATGGATTTGACCAATCAGAAGGCTTACATAAGGATTACTAAGTGTTTTACATGATTTACACGCTGTCACGCAGTTTTTGCCTTACATTACTGTAATTACTGTAAGGCACATGGCCTGTAAAATCACATCCCTTGCCTCAACTCCTCAGAAGTTCCGGAGCCGCTAACCCCCTTCCGGTTAGCTCACTAACCTCGGAATCAATTTGGCCGAAGGAGCTAGCCCGAAGAGGCTTAGAGAGCTTAGCACTCTGAGCGACTGAGGCAATCATTCTCCCAACTTTGGGACTGAATTGCCACTGCCTGAGTACATTCCAACCGTTCCGATACTACTTTCAAGTCCACAAGAAGCTGCCCCGCTCAGGCAACGCCTTAAAATGCAGACAACATCATGTATTGCAATAGCACATATCTGGATGGAGGCACGACAGCGAAACGAATAGACTGGCCTGTACTTTTATCGCATCAGGAAGCCAATGCCTTGACTGAGAAACTGTTTGAGTTCGTTGGAACCGAATCTTGTGCGATAGACGTCTTCTGTGTTGAGAAACGTGATGATGCAGCGAGTACCAGTCTTGTAAATGCTATCCCAGCAATATGAGGAGATGCCGAGAAGACCATCATCAATCGCGAAGATGAGGGTCTTGAAGTATGCTGTGCCCAAAGCCATCAAGTACTCCGGCTCGTGGGGTAAAGACAGAATAGACCGGTTCGTGGTTCATCTCAGACACACTCATGTTGGTGACATCATGGAAAGCTGGGCCGAGCGCTTGCGGCCTTTGCCGGAGAGGGTTCTTTCTGACAATCTCCTCTTCACCCTGTGGAGTAGTTTGAGAGTAAAAACAGCCTCTTCTTGACGCAGAGATATAGTACTCTACTAGACATACTGCTTTTCGCTGAGTTTCGCGAAGTCTCTACTGTGCAGCCAAACTTGGCTCGAATATGGTGCCTGTAATGAAGTGTTAGGATGGAAGTACATATGTTCATCGAAGCTTCCATCAACAACAGTTTCGTACCGCGAAGAGCTAGCGAAACAAGCCGCCACCGCGTTAGAGGGGTGACAAATGACTTTGCGATCTATTTGAACAGCCTGAGGGTTACCAGCAAGCCTCGAGACTCTGTAGTAACTATCATGTCCCAGTATGCTGTTATAGAGCACTAAACAAAGTCATAGGTCCGACATTCGGCAGGCGTTGGATCGACTGCGTACAACGAGCGCAGAAACATGGGTTCCAGTTTCTCCGGACTATTACAAAAGGTCTGACTGGCATTCCAATCAGAGATAGTAATGCTAGCAGATATCCATGTCCGAAAATGTCCATACCAGAGAATTGAGGTGACCATATTCAAGTTGTCGGAATTCATAAAAAGCAGCTCGAGCCTCGCGGCTGGGGGAAGTCCATCGCAGACGTCGCCATCTCTCGAGCTGAATTTGGACAAACGACGAAACAATTCATCTCGTCAAAGTGTCCATGATGTTCTTACGATCTGAACGGAAGCTTGCGCACCTAGGAGATCTCTCACTTCACGGCATAGATTCTGTAGAGCAATCCAAGACTATGTTGAGAATAGAGGCTACTTCCCCGAATGAGTTCCCAAGAAAATGAATTGTTCCTTACTACCGAATATCGAGTGGAAAAGCAACATTACCGGCAAACAGAAACTCAAAAACTCCAGGACATTGAGGGAGTGAAAATCTAGAACTTGCTATGGACTGGTCTCTTTGAAGATGTTCCTGCTTTGCATTACTGGCTAAACTTTGAAAGAAACTCTTGTTAAGGATGACCTTGAAGGCTAATAAGACACGTTGCTTCGGCTGACAGCTCTGATTGGTTGTGTTTCGGTACGAGTAACTTCACGTGGTCTGAATGTACCGATTTAATACCGGCCAAGGGTTTGTTGGCAGGGTTTGAGATGTTGATATCAGTGTCGGCTGCTCAGATCCTGGAGATGAATCGCATGAACGAGCCAAGCAACCATCAATTAAATCAGTTCTGCGGTCTTTAGCAAGGTACTGGACAAGTATCTGCCAGAGACCTTCTCCTTGTCCATCGTGCAACCCAGTAAGTCGTTGGCAGGTCTCCCGACCTCAATCAAAGAACTTCTGATGTTGATACCAATGCAAAGCGCACTCAGCAACTGTACCCAGAGCATAATTGGATTGTTGCCAAGCTATTTGAATGATCTTGGTAGGCCCGTAACCCTCAGGTCCCAGACGTCTGAAGTCTCACTAGCAGATGCTGCGGCACATTCATCGCTGTTCGAATAGGGATCACAGAAGATGGAGACGACTTTATTGAGAGCTGCGCTACATGTGGTGGCATGTCTCCGTAGGGGACTGGCGCTAGCCCCGCTTGTACCTTGACTCTCTAGTCTTTTACATACCACGCATACGCCCGTTTCTTGTTGAAATGAGGGTTTGGCGATGTCTGATGTGACAATAGCCTACCATCTCAAGCTTGCCTTCGCCCAAGCTGATTTTTTCAGGCAACAAGGGCCGAACAATATGAAGAAGAGGCTTTGACCTGTCTCTTTCGCCAGCACCGTCGTTTCTGACTCCGTTCGTGGCGCTTGCGCCGGACCTCAAGCAGGCAGTTTTCTTCTTCCTTCCAAATGTCCCTTCGTAGAGATCCGTCGTTCTCACTTGCACCTCTTCTACTACACTTTCTCCGACTCCGAGTCTCTTCACCCATCCAAAGTACTTGAAAGTCAAATCTATCCAGACCTTATCACCGATGCTCTCGTAGCATCTTGCTCCTCGGGTTTACGACCTACTGCTTGCACTTGGAGTAAAGAGGAAGTGTGCGACCTCTTTGCCACATACAATCATGACCGATCTTCTCGCCTCGGCCATCACGAATAGAAACTCCAAGATGCTCTGTCTTTCAGCAACATCCACAGCACTGTCCAATATTCCGCTAACGATTTCGCTTCCTCTGCTCTCCTACTCCTCTCAAGGGCGTCTCACGAGAATCTCTGGGCCGGGAGAGTCCTCGCTGACGAGACGGCATCGCATTGAACGGGGGTGTTCTCGATTCGGGCTGAATTTTCAATTCCGAACACGCAGGCCTATCTATCGTGAAGTTTCCTGCAACCGATCCATTCCCATGCAGGTGGACAGGCTTAGTCTAAAGGAACAGTGCGAAATCTTCTATGATAGGTCCCCAGTCTGGGAGAATGAACAACTAGGTGGTAATCAGGGCTAGCGCTTGTCGATACGTATGAGCCCCTGCATCTCCAGTATCAAGGGTCGCATTGCTAATGAATCCAGCCTTCAACACGTCGCAGAGCATGACACGCTCAGGGGCGAGCTCAGCATCCCTTGGGCCGATGGATTGTCTAACCGGGATAACCATTGGAAGGAGCGTTTCTTCGTGCGCGGTCTTGCATTTATCCGTCAACTTGAGACCGCATCTACCTACGCTGATCGCTGCATGCTTCTCGATTGGGAGTCACTGCACGAAGACCTCTCTACTTGGAAAGGTTTGATGGAACAAGTGGCAAGGGTTTCTTTCAGAGACTACATCTCGGAGGCAAGAGACAACGTACTGAATTCATCAAGTGCCGGTGACACCGACGCAGGTCCCAAAAATGGATGGCCGTGGGCATACGAAGATAGCTTATTTCTTGACTATAAGCTGTTTAACGGCCACAAAATCCTTCGTGAATGGGGTTTTGTTCTATGGGACTCCGCCAGATGGGAACAATCGGGGTTTTGAACACAGACTGGCACGAATGGAGCGTGAAAAATCGGACAAGAGGAACGCGACCGTCAAGAGCGCGGGAACCGCTGTGAAGAATGGATCGCTTCAGGAATAAGAGTTTCCAAACATGGGGCGCTGGAGGCCGCGGATAGTAGAGTGCTGGAGATGAGAATCGTGTTCAATGGCCAGCGGAAACAAAGCTTGGCTGAGAGCATGCTCAGGGATCGACATCTACATCCGGTGAAACAGGCCAGAGGCTCCAAGGATTCACAACACCTGGCAAAGTACCCGTGAAGTCAGCAAGAACGAGTAAACATTCCCCACGAGCGGACGATGTGCCCACGAACCTGGAATGTCGCAGAATGTATTTTTTTCTCACCCGTAGTTATCGACCTCTAGATTCATAAACGGCGGCTATCCAGCATATGCAAAGCAGCCAAGTCTGCAAGCTAGCGTAGCATTCCTCCGGCATCCTTGATGATTGGTTCAATCTTTGCATCCCCACGGCTGTCGCAAGGTCCTTGAAAGTACCTGGAGCTTGCGGCGCTTAGAGTGTTCAAGCGCCTTTGTGATTGTGTGCGCTTAATAGAGGGTACATGCGCGAGACGTTCGACAAAATCTCGAAACAGAGACGCATGATTGATAGGCTCTCAATGATGCGCCTCTGGTCCCTCGAAGCCGCCTCCCATAAAGCAATCTGTTATCTCGAGGTGGTTTGGTCTACATCTGTTTTCGCAAACGCATTTCTCTTGTTCCTCATTCTTTTATCCCTCTACCTGCGACGCTGAGACGATAAATCTTGCGCAATGCTTCTCCAAAGTGTCTTCTACTTGACTGCATCACTATACCTATGCAGCGCCACGCCCTTGACCTCGCCCCCTCAAACTTTGGTCCCACGAGACGCTGTCACTGACTGCCAAAACGTGACACTCGGACTCAACGCATCATGCTGGGATCTGATTCCTCGCGGTACAGGCATGGAGTCCTGGTTAAACACATGGAACAGCACAACGACCACCTGCGAGCCCGGCGAGCGATGGGCAAACTGTTTTATGCGCCAGGCTGGTGTTACCACCAACACCACAACGTCGATACGTTGCGACCTGATAGGACCTAATACTTGCCCTGAGCCAAGTATAGATGTGTTCGAGAGCGCATCTGCCGAGGCGAGCTACGGGGTGGCTAGTATCTGGGGTAAGCATGGAAGCCAAGACATTTGATGTATGAAGAGGGGGAGCTGACGACGGTTGCAGCACTGCAACAATACATGACAACCCTCTACCAGTTCCTCGAAGGAGATCAAGGCCTGTCACTGATAAATACCGGGTTCCTAAACCAGACAGCTCCCAGAAGCGCCAAGACCATTCTCGTGAACATTCTCGACGAGATTGGAGATCCGGTAGCCACTCAACTAACAACGATCATCGGATCGCCTGTTCCCATAAAGCAGGGGAGTTTCATTATCCCGACCCAAGCTCAGGCGCAGCAGATTGTCGGGCAAACCGTTGGTAATCTGTTGCAATGGCTGATGACGGATTGGTTGGAGGGTGGATTTACGGCTCTGGCTATCGAAGGGAACTTGATTTCCATTCTTGGAGACTAGAGGGAGTTGCATTGCTAGGCTAATTCTAAAATTGAGCGGACTAGATGGATCTGAGTTGAGTCTCAAAAAGTCTGCCTCCATTTTCTGCACAAGGAATGCAACGCACCGCAACGCATTGTCTATTTTCGTATCCAAGTTTCTCGGATATGCATGGCGAATTATAGTATTCATATGAGTAGCAGAGATTAAGAATTGGCGTCCGAGGCCGAAAATATGTTCTGTTGTAAGGCTAAATTGAAGCGTCGAATCAAGAGTGCAGATCAACGTTCAACGCTTATAGAAAAAGTTCAGACTCTTTGGTAATCCCGCAGGAGCAATATCTTTTGCGTCATCTACTTCTTTTTGTTTGTTTCTCCACAAAAAGAATTCTCACTAGCGGGTGATCACTTCGCAATTTTGAGACGCTATGACCAAACACAAAGGGGCCGCAAGTCTCTCACTGCTGTTCAGCGAGAACGCTAGCCAACAAGAAAGCCTCGCAACGGGCCGGTCTACTACTTTTGTATAGCGCGTCATAGTTATCCAGGGTATCAGGCGTTGTTTCTTACCTGGAGTCTTCGAAGGCGTACAGCATTCATGGACAGCCCGATTCGAGCTCCTATACAGAAAGGTTCCAACACAGGTGGCTGCGCTAGGTCTCGAAGCATTCTACGATGCCGCAGTAGAGGCCTGTCTGCACCCAATTAATCTACACATGATATCACGCACGGTTGCCGTGGTGCTCTTGCTTTCGACATTTATTCTCGGAAGCCCTTCGTGATCCCATGGGCGATAGTCGCGGGCTTTTTAAAAGAGGTGAAAAGGATAGCGGCAGATGGACTGGAGTGTACTTTCGGTGGGGAATTGATGCCCGTCATCGTCGATGGTCTTACTGGCTCGATCTTTTGGGTCTCTTTGAGGGTAAGGGGGTTCCATAGTCCACAGGGTCTATCGAATGGGGTCTGGTCAAGCTTCACGAAATCTCCATCCAGGAATGTTGATCCTGTCGAATCTGACACCCAAAGTTCCTCGGAAGGCTCCGCAGCCATGTATGCATTGTGTACGACGGGTTCGAAGATGCAGTGGGGATGGCAACATACAGCTTGCTTCCAATATGCCGCCCGTGATGGTATTGTACTCACGTAGCTTCACACACAATCAATGTCACTCGAATCAGCAGTTTCACGTACTGTTTGGTGTGCGTTCCATTCGGGAAGGGTACCCTCTCCGTCTGAGCCGTGTTTGGTGGGTATCCAGCGAGAGCCGAGCTGATTGTTCAATAAAAACTGAAGCACGGAACAGACTGGGCGGTAACGCGTCTTTTTCACAGCAGTGTTTGCATCAATCCACAGAATGATTGGTTTTGGGGACAGATGATGGAGCGCCGTGAATCCGAAAACAAAATCTACGAGGTTTCAGAGATAAGGCTGAAACCTGATTGAGGCGCCGCTTCTCTTCTCACACGAAACAAAACATACGTGGCGCATATCTAAGTGATGAAACCGTATCAAACCCTAATATCAGGCTTGCAACGACAATGGAGATGAATCGAAAGATCGTTGGTTTGATTGTTCGTTTCATGGTCTAATTCACTGGGTGTTAACACTGACAGGCGTTATGTCCTCTCTGTATCAGGCCTGCTTTGCATACAAAACGTGGTTCACATCCTGTTATTCATGCAGCTCATCATACTCATTACAATTCTAGACTCTCAATAGCAAATTCCAAGAACAACGGCTTGATTATGAACCTCTTCCACGTCATCGTCTCTCTCCTAGCGTCATCTGTCGCCCTCGCAGGCCACATCACGCGCTCGGCCGACCTAACACTGTGAATAACATCTACCCTCGTCGAGGAATATTCGTGCTGAACACCTATTTAGGGAACCCGTAGTAGAAACCCCGTATGGGTATATTCCAGATGGGCTCCCAGACACCGACCCCACCCCAAATAGCTGCTGGACAGCACCAAATGGGATCGTCTCTGGCTCTGCTTACAGCCCCGGTATATGTCATATCTGTGTCAATCAAAACGGTACTGGCCTTAACTCCTGGTTCGGAGCCTGGGCACGGGATGCGAGCAACTTCGCCATGGAAGTTACACCCGCCGTAAACCACGTACCCGAGACAGCGAATGAGAGCTTATATACCTTCAACGCTGGTCCTGAGCATCTCACCGTAGCCATCCGTCACAATAAATTACCTAGCAAAGCATCTAGCGTATCTCTGTTGCTGGGAAAGCCACCGGCGCCACAGATGTCCTTGGACCCTGCGACACACGAGAACTCAACGAGCTGCAATGCCGTCCAGGATGCACAAGACAGTACAGAGACTAAAGCTCAATGCTACTTCCTTTGCGAAGCTTCGGATGCCTCCAAGGGCGCAAATAGCCGACGTACCCAAAATACGGCATCTTCAAGCAGCGACTCTGGTGTTAACGAGCATTCATCCGTTTCTCATCCGCGCTCAGCGCCAGTAGGGAAGCGTCATCCTGCTGCATCATTGTAAGAACTTCAGTGCATGTTTCTCTGCTTGGACTAAAGATAACCCCAGAAATTCTCCTCCAGCCGAGAAAAACGGCGTGCTCCCCGACGGTACCGTCATCAACCCTAATCCCGAAAACAACCCAAACGCTACCAAAAGCCCACAAAGCTGCTGGACAAAGCCGGTCGAACCTGTCGTCCCCATGGCTAAGGACAGTTTCTCCCCAGGCCTCTGTCAAGTCTGCGTGACACAATGGGGCTTTGGACAAGCTGTTAAGGAATCATTATGATTTGACTCATATATGTGGTGTGGTGTAAAGATGTTGATTATCTATGTGGTCTGCAGGGCAGATATGTGCGGTGCCAAGCCTACGCTAGTGGCCCTATGAGTGTCCCTGAGGCATCTCATGACAATTGCCCACAAAAAACAGAGAAATGCCATGTCCTCATGGCAAGAAGTATGCATGCATGAATGAGTTTTCGAAATGCTGGAAAGGAATGGAGACACCAGGCCAATTAGTGGTGTGTATCCCACGAGTTCTCCTGCCGCAGTGAAAGCTTTTGAATAATGAAATGGCTGTCGAAACAAGACATCGGACGGTTTCAATTCGTCCAAATATGCATCGTCCGATAGGTGACCCTTGCCTGCAGAGGTCCAATTGGCTGTGATCGACGCAGTAGATCCTTCTCTTGTGTGCTCATTGCAGTGATGTACCACAATGTGATATTGCCCAGGCATGCAGAGATAGCAGGCCAAATTGTAGTATCGTTCTCCGCCTGCTGAGTGGTGATTTGCCGTGGAACCGTGGAGAGCATATGACGTGGGATTGTGGAGAGCTGAGCCGTGTTCTTGCTGATGGTGGCCTTGTTGTCGCTTGGTTTCTCCGCAGTGTTCTCCGCATTTGCCTGTTGTAGTTCCTCCTCTTGCTCAACTGAGTGCTCTGGCTGAGTGGCTTGCTGAGTGGCCAGCTGAGTGGTTGACTGAGTGACTGGCTGAGTGACAGGCTTAGTGCTTGGCTGAGTGATATGCTTGGTGCTTGGCTGTAAGGTAGCCTCTTGTCTAGCCCATTCTTGACGTATGTAGGCCGCTCGGTCTTGAAGGATTTTGGCCTGTTGTTGAAAGAACTTGCAGTCTTCTTCGGTGACGAAATAGGATGGTTTATTGCCTCTTTCTAAGCAGTGTTGAGCTTCTGCGTCATACTCCCATGGGTAGTATTCTCTTGTGTGCCATGGGCCATAGTGCTCGGTACGGTACTGCTCATGTAGGGTCTGCAGGAATGCTTGCATTGTGATATCGACAGGCCTATCAAAAGGATCGATTTGGACGTGGGTTTGTCAAAAGGTACTCGATGACAGCGAGTGTGTTGGAGGTCCGGCTTGGAGCGTTGCACTATTAGGTGTTTGATGCAGGCTTTGCGTAAACGTGTGGTGTAGACGTAGCTCGTAAAAGAGACGTCTACTACATCATAGGATCAAGTGGAATTAGATCTTAAGGTGTTGCTACCAATTGTTAAGGAATCATTATGGTTTGACTCATATATGTGGTGTGGTGTAAAGATGTTGATTATCTATGTGGTCTGCAGGGCAGATATGTGCGGTGCCAAGCCTACGCTAGTGGCCCTATGAGTGTCCCTGAGGCATCTCATGACACAAGCCCCACAATACCAAGTCTGGATTCGCGATGCTCTCAACCATGCGATGGGCGAAATGGATGCAACCACACTCGCAACACTCAATTACAATACTGATGATCCCACCAGCCTCACCATACCCGCCGGAACCAAGTCTCTCAACATTTGGCCCATGGAGAGCCAAGGGATTAACGGTTCTGGAGGTGTGGAGTTTTACAATTACTCTAGGGTATACATGGTGTGGCAGGTACCGTCAGATTTTATGGTAGAAACAATGGTGTTCGACCCTGGGTTAGAGTTAGGGCTACAGGGCAGTAACTGTAGCTTATCCGGAAGCACACAAGGTGGCGCGGTGACTTACTTTCAGTGCCACTTCGAGTGCCCCAAGGAGGAATCTATGAAAGGGAACCATTCTTCGAGGGCAACCCATTCTATGAAAGCGATCCGCTATTAGTAAGATGATTGAGGCTCGTCATGTCTTCGAATTGTTTTGTCTTTGCACTTGTGTACCTTAGCTCGATCAAACAGCTGCAAATTAGTCGGCATTGACTACTTCACTTTAATCGCTGTTGTCGCCATTGCTTTGAACTTGAGATAAATCCGTTCCATCAGTGCTACCTGCAGCTTTTCTCCATTCGGTCCCATCTCACGCGGACTTGCAGCCATAAGTGCTCATCACTTCAATCAACAATCTCGACAGGTTTCAAGGGGCAGATGAGACTTGTTGAGTGCGAACAAGCCTTGACCACCGAGGTTCCCAGATCCTCGCGTTTCTTCCCGTCCACGAGTCTGTACTTGTGACTTTTGTAATAAATCTTCACCTCACGCTTGCAGATCCGGATCAGCTGGTTTTTGTACGCTTGCATTACGTCTGCTCCAAGCTCTCCGGCGATATTCCGCCAACTGTGAGTTTTGGCAGTTTAACTTCAAATGGCATACATATTCTAAACCGGAAAATTTCAGCTAGGAACGATTTCCACAGAGCTGAGAATGATAAGCTTGCTGCTGTTCGGGGTGCGTCATACGCACGGACAGGTTTCAATGGTCACATGGACATACCATTGGTCCACATGGCCATATCATATGTATTTCAAGGTACTAGGGTCTTTTTGCCACAGACTTTTGCTACTATCTCTACATAGAAAAACATCTTGATAGAGAGAGATAATCTACTACCTATTAAAAACTACGTCGCGATAGAAATGTGTTTTATCCAAGCCTTTGCTACCAGTCTCCTCCATAGCCAACTCAGCAGCATTGCGATCAAAGCAGTTACACTGTATAAGCTGCTCTCCGTATACCTCCAGATCTGCAGCTGTAGCGTTCCGTCAGTATTGATAGTCTTGCTGAGTACGATTGTCTACTCAAGCTTCTTGTCGTCTCTGCTTCCCACTGGACATTATATATTCTTTGTCAGTTTCACGCCAACTCTCTCCAACAAACTCTCCTCAATCAGCTCTCTAGCAACTGGTCACGTCCCTACACCCACGCAAGGCCGAGATGGACTTCTGAGTACTTAGTATTCAGAATGGGCATGAATCTCACAAAGGCATGGCATCGCGACTTCCACCTCAAACAAACAAAGACAGACAAACGTTCGATGTCTTAGATTATTACAAAACAGTGTCAAACAGACTTCAGGTGTCTGAATTTCAATGGAAATGCTCTAAGGATCACCTCGACAGTGGCCGGTAACTTGCTGATCAAGGTGGAAACATGAAGTGTTTCAGCTCCTTCGGTACGAGGCAAAGCCAAACAATTCTGTATAAGCAGTTGTTTCACTGCACGAGTCACTGAACAATGGCAAGGTAACAGGATAGGCAGTAGATTTCTCAGCATGATAATCACCACCGTTCTTGAGGTGCCTATTCTAATTTTGAACAACCAAGCCTACCATCATGAAATGCGCCTACTTCTTTGCGCATATCCTAGCGCCTTTCATCGCCTTAACACATCCATCGGTAGATCACCATAAACACGAAGGTTCAGTGGGAGTGGGCGGAGGCCGCTACCGCGCTAGGGCCTCAATTTTCCCAATTAAGTAGCTCGAAACTGATGACCTGTATAGGAATACCCTACCATACGACACAGATCGCCCACTCCCAGACGGCACGATCATGAACTCCGCTCCCAACTGGAACTCTTTTAATAACAGCTGCTGGACAGAACCAAACATACAGCTTTTCCCCCCTCAGACGCAGAATACGAATCCGACACATGTCAAACTTCTGTCATACAGAGTGACATTAGATTCAAGGCTTAGTACGCAGCTGGCATCCGCGACGCTAACAACATCACCGCGGGAAATATGCCCGCTATCTTCCTCGGGCCCGAAACAAGTGTAGGGAGATCACGGACCTTTATGCTATCAACGGATGTTGCTTCCCAAACCGATGCTCTAGAAGGTACTGTGGCGTACTTCAATATTACTTTCAATGTGGGCTCGCTTTTGATCTGAATTACCAACGTACGCTAGAAGTATCTGAGGAACGCAATCTACCAACGTAAGCACTCTCAACCTCGTTCCTCCGTTCCTTAAACAATGCAAAATTTTAAAGCCCCTCTTCCATCGAAAAAAGCGCCATACTCCTCAACGGCACTGACACCATTATCGACCCTAATCTAACAATAACGCAAAAGCTACACCACTCCACCTTCACCTCGTTCCCGATATCGCCGGCGTTACCATCCACACCCACTAAGACGCTGGCGAGAGCTCTAACGTATCAATCATCATTTACACCAAGGAAGATTGCGAAAGGGATGGCTTCAATGAAGGGGACATAGGTTACAACATCGAGAACTGGCGACAGATGAGGTCTTACCACTTGAGTGCCAATCTTAATGATGACCATGAGGTGCTAACTATTGGGGTTGGTGAGGCTTGGGACGCTACAGGCGGAAGCCGGTTGATCCGAGGTTGAATATCGACATCAACGCTGCTTGTGCAATTTCCGCATACCTCTTAATGAGTAGTGCTACAAAGAAACTGTGTCCCACACTTCAGAATGTTGTGGGATGCATGATAATTACTATCACATAAGGCCAACGGACGTGGGCACAAAGAGACTGCTCATGGTGGTCACAAGCAGTACTGATGGATGATTTGATGAGGCGAGCGACTGTTGCCATATCTGGGCCAATCGTCTTCGAAGCAAGCAGTCGCTTTTGTGGAATCTCAGAGGAATTTGTCGAGAGAGGGGAAATCCAAATTATTCCTCTATTTGCACCGCAGTGAATCGGGTTAAGCCCGTTGGCTTTGCTAATCTCATACCTGCACCGTTGAGGTTCACCGACACCATGCACTGACAAGTCTCTTGTAACCTATACAGAGAGTTCACACTTCTGCAGCCTGTCGCAAAACTTCTCTACGAAAGGAAAACTGAGGTTGCGAACTCGGTTGTCGACTTGGAGCAATGCGCCGCGAAGAAACTTCGGAGTGAGCCGTCACCACGATTCCTTTGGGGCCTAGCCTGTCCAGGTTGTGGACTGCGGATTTGGACAGCCAGAGCGTAATTGATTGTCCTACAGCTTGCCGAATCGGGAGGCAGCGATATTAGTGAGCCCACTATTCTCACCTTGTGCAACTGGTAATTTGTTATTCCACTGGTGTTGTCACATGGCTTGTGGACTTTTCTTGATCACGCAGTTTCAGAGAGATCAGTAATCTCTCCTCCTCAGCGGATGATCTAAACAAAGTACTACTTCTTTCATGGGAGCGGGTGCGCATAACCCCACGCGTGAAAACTAACCAGTCGCTGGTGCATAATTGTACAAGACAGCAAGTGGAAGCAAAGTGATCGATCCAAGCCCCACGCAAACACGTCGGCGCTTAGTAAACGCAGGCTGGTAAGGCCAAACACGTGGCCTGATCCTGCAGGCACGTGAGCTTGGAGATGCATAACGCCAGCAACGGTTGCATGCACAGAACATCGTTAAATGGTCAGATTGGCGAGGGGAATTATACATTACATGTCCTCGATGTTCCAGAAGTAACTTATTGAAGAGCAAAAGGTTCGAAAAGCGTTTCTTACTCATTCCTCCGACTCGCGAAGCAAAAGCCCTGCGCGCTAGTAAGGAGAGAAATCCGGACACATCCGTACAACCGCCTCGCGCAAGAAGTCTTGTGGCTGCGGATGCGCCGAGCCTTGCGCTTACCGTTCTTGCCCTGTACCCATCCGTGGAATAAGAGTGGGGGAGTCCCAGGTTGGAAGACCTGCAGGAATGAGGTCTGAAGTGATGTCTTCGCACGCGCTGAATCTCTTTGTACTTGGATGCATGCTTCAATTTCTGCTGCTTCAAAACTCCTTGGTTCACAGCGCCGTCATTTCGCGATTCCTAAACACGGCAATCACAAACGCGACAGTGGGCTATCATCCGGCATACTGTAGCGACAATGAAGGTTGGGTTGGAAATGGAATAGTTCAAAGTGACTGCGCAGAAGCAATCATGGAGCTTTACAGAACGAATGTCTCGCCGCGAGGAAGACAGAAATACGAATTCCTCACCCGCGGAGTGCCGCGGACTTCTCATTTGCCCTACATAGTAACGCCTAGGAAGCATGATTATGGTGAGCAATCAGAGTTCGGCATAAGCAGTCATTTTTTCTGAATTGGACCGTCATAATAGGGACGTGTGTCATCGTCATTGCAATGCTAGATACTTTCTATCCCGGAATCCTACCAGGTCTCAGGCCACAGCAGTGTGCACAATCTGATATAGCTACCTTCAACCAGATATACGATGTAGCCGTGAGCTTGTCTTCAGAATGTGTGAAGAAGAAATTGGACCCTGAAGCCGGCTGGTCTTTTGCAGGTAGGGGCGCACTGCTGGCTGCTTAATTCACCTGCGTTTCGACTTGCACTTTGGGGCGCACCGAGAAACTGCTGATTCTTGCTCTACTGAATAGGAGCGATGGCTAGCATCGGGGTATTCATTCTCAGACGGGGCTCAGACCTAGACAAAGTTCTGCGGAGCAGTGCGCCTATGACCACATCGATCAACAATGAAACATCACTTCTAGGCTTGATCGAGCTTCCTAGACCCTCAGATGCGATGGATATTGTCAATAGTTGATAAGGAGACGGGCAAATAAGATGTGCTATTCATCAATATGGTCCAGGCCCATGCCAACGCAATCCGGACTGTCAATGCAACATAAGTTCAAGTTCTGCCGAGACAGCCTGCTTTTCTATCGCGTCTTAAATGATAACTCAATTGCCTGGTCTCACCTCGCTATACCCTCACCGCTTGTCAAGAAAGACAAATTCTGACTACCAATTGACAACGGCTGCGTTGTCGCGTCGGGGTGCTCGTCGGACAATTGAAGGAATATATTGCGGCCGACACCTGAGACCATTAGCCACCCTCGCTCGTACTTCCACAAATGTATACGAACCAAGCCCAGCAGCTTTCCCACATTTCTGCCTTCCTCGCACACACGTAGAAGCCAAAGCCACGACAGCCTCCCATACTTCGTACCAGGACAGTCCCGTTGGTTGGCCCGTGATATCAATCTTCACCATGCATCTCCGATCCTCTATCCAAAGTAAGCAAGCTCTGTGTAACAAGAGGCGCAAGTTCTTACCAGCTTTATACGTGACTGGCAATCGGACTTGCACCCGTTGATCTGGCAAATGCCCAAAGGTCTGCCTGGTTTTGGCCGCATTCATATTGGAGAAGATGCTGACGCAAGAGTTCCATGATGGAGCAGAGAAAGTGTTGCAGCGCACATTCGGCTTGTAGGATGCAATCATCACGTCCAAGTTGTTGTCACCTCCTGTCGTTACTTTGTCAGCCGTCTCTCGGCTATGATGTCTATTTTGCAAACAACTTCTGATTCCATTACTTGAACCCCAAATGCCCTAATATTTCAACTGGATTTAACTGACCAATGTCTCCGGCTATTCCGCCCATACCACGTTTGACAACACACTCCTGGAAGAGAGTGTAGGCAGCGTTGCCTACTTCTCTCGGAGAAGCTCGGGCGGTCACTGCTCCTTCAGCAAGTATTGGCTGGACATAACACAACCCATCACCTGCGCACCAAGTTTAGCAAGCCAAAATCCATGTTCTGCCTTTCCGCTCTAGAACAGTCATGTGCAGCAAACCTGAGGTAATTGGGGACTCACTGCTAGTAGCCCTAAAAGGAAGATTTAAATCATGCGGCTGAACAGTACTGCGTTCTGCGAAAACGGTCTGTGTGTCATCCTGTGTTATGAAGTTGAAGACCTTCCTGCAACTTCCCACGTTCAGATTCCTCCCATAGCGTACTGGGTCGCATCTAAGCTTCAAGACTTCGTCGAAGGATGTGTCATTAGTTGCAAATGACAGGTTCTCAGGAAAATAGAGAGCAGGGGAGATGACAGGTCCTTGCAAAAGATCATAGGTGTCCGAGGGTTGCGGGACAACTGCACATAGTGCAAAGGCGGGAAGGATGAGGACTTCTAACAGCAGTATCCAGGGCATTTTGAAAACTAATTGAACTGCCTACAAGTGCTGCTAGAGAGGAAAACATTTGATCTTCAACCTCCGGAAGACAAGGGAGGCGGGTGGTCGGCAGTGAAGCCTGCCTTGCAATTTGAAGTGAGGGACTCGGGGAGATCATCAGATCTGGCGCATATATATCCGTGCATGACGGAGATTGCCGAACGCGATTGAGCGATTTGTGATTTGCGGTCTTAGTTGTGAAACTTGGAGCGCATAAAAGGTACCCCCACGGCGCCTTTCAATGCAAGGAGACGAACATCCATGGATAAAGAGGTCCAACAGGTCGGCCGAGGTCAGTCATTGGCGTCATTCCAAACAAGAATTTCGTCCGTCATGACACTAGGGGCAAGGAAAAAGCATCAGCTATCATCGTTGTGACTCCCTCAAGCCATGTGTCCCGACAACCGACATTGAGCCAGAAACCTGGAGCCGAGAGCAGATACTTCGTTTGAAGCAGACTCCACGACGGATATGTTACGATCATTCTCAGCCTAGAGCTCTGTCTATAGGGACAGTGTATCGTAGCGAGAGTGACAAATTTGCCAAGCCCCCAGATACAAGTACTATCTTTAAACCTGTCACGTGACGCCAAGACCTGGTGCCCGCGGAGTCTTGGAAATCTCCCTCCAGCTTTCCATCAACTCTGACCATCACATGTAAAAAGTAGTCTACATTGTTCACTCGCGAGTCGGTCGAGATATCACTAAGTGCCATCATCATCTCTGACAATGATCGCATCCGATGCTACCGTTGTGCGCTGTGCTTAAGCCTCTAAATCTGCTGCATGGTGTTGATGGGGGTATTTAGTTCGTATTAGGTTCGATTCCTAATGGCGCTGGTACGATGGTGTTGCGGTGCTTTTTATTTTCTCATGGCTGTGTAAAGCTGCCATGATCTTCGCAATAGATGACTTTCGCGTGTACATGCAAGTTGTGACCTATTTTCGTATTGGGTCTCAGAGCTGTTGCCCGGTCTAACTACGACAAGTCCTTGTATCAACCAACCTTGAGCGGCGCCAGGCGGGAGCCTGCAGTGACTTGATAGGCATACATAGTGCACACGAGCAGTGCATTCGGGCAGAAAGAATCATAGCTGAAACACATCAATGAGGTCAGCCACTTCATCTGTCGTGCTAGCAGCATTGTTCATTGGTCACTACGATATAGTGTTAATTCCAGGAGCATATTCTCGATCGACAATCCTTCACACCCGAATTCGTGGTTGAACGATAACACCGAATTCTTCGTCTCTAAGTAATTGCCAACGCAGCCTCCCGGCAACCCCATGAGTGAGACGCCCCCAATTCGCGCTGCTCCCCTACAATCCACGCAACCCACAACCCACAACCCGCCTAACCCTCCTCAATTCCCCTCAAAATTCTTAAAAACATACCCCGTCGCCACCCTCCCCACCACGCCCACAACCTCAACATCGAAGCTCAACCACACATTATCCCACCACTGCATGAACGCGCCCAAGCCCAAGACGGCAAAGCGCCACATCTCCCACTTCATCGCCGATTCCGGCAGGAGGACCACATCGACCGTGTTGACGTACTTCCGGCTGTACTGCAACTTTGTGGCCGCGATGTCGAGCTCGGGCGGGTGGGAGGCGGCGTCCTGGAAGGCGGCGTAGAGGACCTCCTGCGTGGCGATGGCGTCGCGGAGGGAGTCGCCGTAGTGGTAGAACTTGACGGAGACGGGGGTGGTGGGGACGCGATAGGTGTAGTCTTCTGGGGGAAGGGAGCTGGGCGGGAGAGATGTGATGATGAGCTGGGGTGTCTTTGTGCGTTGTGTTTTGGGGGAAGACATGAAGTGGGGACGTACTTTGGAGGTCCTGGGAGCCGAAGGGTGATGTTGAAGTGTGGTCTAAGGGTCGAGGGTTGATCGTTAGACAAAGACAGAGATTGCGAAGGTGGAAGCGCGGCGGAGAAGGCAAGGGCGCAAAGTAGCTGGAAAGGCAGAAGATGAGAATTTGCGGCGAAGATTGCCATGTTGGATGCAATTCTCACCTAGAGATGAACGCATGGATTGAAAATGGTTACCCCCACGGTATTTTTTTCGCTTGTGGCACTTTGGCGCATGAATTCGGAACCCCCATCTGTATGCATGCATGTCATTGGTTCCAGCTTATTATGTCCGCTTGCCGCAGTGTATCTCCTGTCGATTGGTATTAAATGGTAAGAGGTCCTCACTCTGAGGTTCGCTTCCATCAAGATCACCGGTCAGCTGAACATATCCGTGAGATCACTAGAGCACCTCTGCGACGACCCGTTCTCCTCTCTTTCCTTCCTCGTCCTTTTCTCCTTTTCATGGTGATCCATCCGAAGTAACTCAGGGCCTATTCAACCATAAGCTTAGCCTGCTGGTCCCTAATCTCTGGTTTCCCCCTCAGATGCAACGCCAGAACCGTCATCGCCATTCCGAACACCGAAGATACAATGCAGACAACGACGAGATAGAAGAACGGCGCTTTAGGGACCTTGGCGACGCGCACAGTCCAGCGAAAGCGTTGCTGAATGTTGTCATCGAAATCGAAGAGACACCCGACGCCAGCGCCATGCCAGTCTGGCTCAACGCCTTGCCCATAGACCTAGCCATGGAGTCGTTGATCGCCATGACTGCTAGTGAAGCGGCTTGATACAAGTAGTACTGGTCGGTGTAGTGGCGCTTGTACGATGGATGCTCTTTGTGGGAAGCTGATGCTGGTGTTGAAGTCCCAGAAAGAACCGTTGATTATGGAGAAAGTAACATCGTAGACTGTCGCTTCGCAGGTTTAAGCGAAGGCTGTGAATCCTTGTCCAGCGTCCACGAGCGAGCCATTGCCCGGGTACGGATCGGCATAGTGCGTTATATCGAATGGCTGTGAAGCAACATGGAGCCGATTGTCTATGATAATAATTAGCGCTGCTCCCGGCCGGAAGAAGTCTCCATTGGTATTCCCAAAAATGACCATGGCTTAATCATCGGGTCAGTTGGTCTAAAGTATAGTTTCATATCGAAGACCCTTACTCACGTTAGTAGCGTCGCTGTTGATAGCCCTACACTAGCGATATCGACAACGCACAGAACCGGCTCATTTCCAAGCGCGCGTTCAAGTCTCTTATAAGACTTCTGCGCAACCCAGTGCCATACTCACACACGAGCGCCACGAGCGCCTCTCATGATCTCGCGCAGCAACAGAGGCCGCGAGTCTGCTTCATGGTCACTCCTCGCGTGTGGAAGAAATTCTAGAGCAACAGCGTATTAGAATAGCACCATGAAAACCGCGACGACCATCTCGGCAATATTGCTTGCCCAGCTCCCAACCAGCAAGAAACACCCAGGGTCCTTGTTGGTGTGAAAGGCGTCGAGTGAAGGGTATTCGGTATACGGAAGCGCGGTGATTTCTGCATACGAGGCTGGCATTTCGCGGTCTGAGAGGGAAATGAAAGCCAACAAGAGTATTGATATGACCAGCAACGGAAGCGAAACGATGACAAATGCGAGCACGAGATCGCGCTTTCTGCTCAACCGGGGAGCCGAAGCCTGCTCTATGTGGTCATTCCGTTTCCCGGACCGCCGCACGAAAGCAAGGTTGGAGTCCATCGTCTCCGAGAGACCGCAGAAGTTGTAGGAACCCATAACCAGAGGAAGGCAGAAAGAGAATGAGACAACGCGAAAGAACTCTTATCTAATTTCAGAAGAAGAAGAAGAAGAAGAAGAAGAAGAGGAAGCAGAGGGAAAAAAACCAATTAGATGAGGCTGTAAATTTAGCCCTCTATTGCTCTGCATGGCAAATTCAAGGCCACCAACCCAATCTTCTTCAGCAGCATTTTAACTCATGTAGTCTCCTAGATCATGTACAATCAGCATACCATTTGCTGCAGCCCCAAATGTAGAAATAAGGCCGTCCACTCGCATCAGCCTCCTGTACAAGCTCACTTGCAGCATCTGCTTTCTAAGGGGAAGCCTCGAAGCCTTCCAATATGCGCGCCTAGGGGGTAAAGAGTCTTGGCAGAACATCAAAATGCCATACTTTCGCAACGCAATGTCTTTTACTTAACAACATTTACAATAACATTTTCAGGCTATAAACACTAAAATTGCTTGAGAAGAGTGATCGGGAAATTAGCAAGACTTTCGTAGATGTTCTCATTGTTGAGTCCCGGTGGATTGCAAGAAGAGGCTTTTTGATGTCCGGTCTGACCAGCCGATGGGATACCCCTGCGTTCCCTCAGGATCTGTTGGTAGCATGATCCCAAGTATGGCCGTTATACTGGAAGCGGTGAACATGTTTGAGAGGGCATTGGAAGGCTTTTTTGAGTCAACAGAGATGGTTGCACGTAGACTTAAGAAAGAGTAGAGGGCAGCATTTGAAGTACGACGAAGTCATTGGACCGATATCACGTGCATCTGCTAAAAATAGCATGTCAGCTGCAGGATCAAAACATCCTTCATCATCTCTCGAAAATCCCACATCAGCTCTTCTTCCAAGTTTGCAAGCAGTGTAACTCTAGGCTATACCATAAGAGTCGAATTTACTTTTTCTCTGTCTAGGCGGCTATGAGAAAGTCAATGATAATTCAATCTGTCAATCTCATATCTGCGTCAATGTGCTATCCGAGATAAACCAGGATTAAGCAACCACCACGCAAATTCCAAAATGCAAATATCCGAATTCTCTCGTTAGTCAGTCTCAAGTCATCCTCGCAAATCCTGTTCTACCATTCATACCTTCTGAGAAGCTACTCCCTGTTTCTCTTCTAGAGCCCTCATCTCCTTCTGCACAACCTCATCATTTGGCAAATACACCGCGGCTGCTTTCATCAAAGTCTTCACATCCGCCACCTTTCCCAAAGCTCTGCTCGCCAGTGCGGTCCGGTAAAAGATCTTCCCCATCGCATCATGACCTGGGAAGCTGACCGGCCAAGTCTGATTCAACCAGGCCTGGCCATCATCGCCAATTTCGTCACTCTCATCGCCGGTAAGGGAATGGCGGAAGAGGACTATGCTGCGCTTGCCCCAGAAATGCGCTTCGCTGTAATCTTCCAGCTTGAGGTACGCAAGAACAACATTGGCAACTAGTTGTACGCGTAAGATCATGCGTGCGTAGTCGGCACGTTGACCTTTGTAAGTGCCAGAGTTGAGGTCGCGGATGTAGAAGCCGTCGCAATGCACAGTGCGAACACGACCCGAGACGTAGATATGGATCGCGCCGAACGAATCGATGTATTTCTGGAGTGCTTGACGGTATAACCCGAGTTTAAGAAGCGCGTTACCGGCGTCTTTGAGCGCGAAGCCTTTCTCGAGACACTGCTCCGGCGTTGGGTCGGGAATAGCTCGTTCCTTCTTTAGAGCTTCGTCCACGGAGGGCAAGAGCTTCGAGCCGTGAACTGTGAAGGTGTCGAGGTCCTTGATCATGCCAAATGGCAGCAAGAGACGGGTCTGTAGCGCTTTGGGAAGTTTGCGGTCTCGGACATGGGGATCCTGGAGGGTGAGCTTGAGGCGCAGTTGCTGGTTTAGACCGTGGTGATTGAGGTTGGAGAAGTGCCAGAATCTATTGAAGGACTCGAGATCTTCGAGGGAGATAAGCATGCTGAATCTCCCATGGCGACTGGGATAAGGACTTCCGGGAGTATCGATGAAAACCCAGAGGTGGAAATCCCGGAAGAGCTCGGCTTTCTCTCCAGTCGTCACGCTTGGAACTTTACCCTCGCTCCTGATATGTTCAATAGACTCAGGCCATGGCGTAGTGATCTTAATGAAAACATTGTCTTGGAAGACTTTCTTGGCCTCACGATGAATTTGGTGGCAAGTCAGGAGAATGTCCAGCTGGAACTCATAGCGGGCAGGCTCGTCGGGCTTGTCAGATTCGACTTTGGAGACAGCAGTGGATAAAATGTCACTGTATATCTGCTCACGAATCTCGGGTGGATAATCGAGGAAGCTCGGAGCCATTGAGATGGTGTTGGAGAATGGTACGAGTTGATGAGTTGGAAGCTGACTTCGGGTGGAAGGCTGAATGCGGGGCAGTGCAACAGCTTAGTCATGAGTTGACAGCCAATCAGATGAAGATCGAGCTTGGCTAGAATTGCACCGAAAGAACACGAAGCTGATGGACACCCATGAATGAATTAATATCCGTTAGATAGAATCAATAGGAGAAACCGTGTATGATCTGATTTGATGCCACGGTAAGAGGCAACGAATGGACATTGTAACAAGTGAGCGCCCACTTCAGACCAAGATCTACGGGCAGCAGGGCTCTTCACTCACATGCCTTCCTTCGGGCAAAAATCTGTGCAAACAAGTAAGAATCACGGTATCTGCCTTGTGGTAGTGGACAATGATAATCCGCAAAGCAGCTTGGATCTACCACAGAATCGGCAACTCTAAAGTAGAAAATCTTTACTCTGCTTTTAACAGGCACTCACCCTTATCTGACGAGACGTTCTAGCCAGGACAATAACCCTGCTCCTATGGTTTTTGCAGGCCAAAACAAGGAAGGGGGTTCTAATGTCACAATAGGAGGCATTAGCTGCTACTTGAGGTTTCCCAAACGACCCATTCAAGATCTCAATTGGCCTGGGTGGTAAATCTCTCGTTCACAAAAGACCCTTGAGTCTTGGTCTTCGGGAAGAACATGGTATGTTAGTCAGGATCTCGCACAGTTTGTAGAGTGAATACGCGACAATCATCGATTGCATGATCGCTGAGTCCTAGTACATTCTGCCTGTCGTTATGGCCCTCATTTGAACAGATCATCGCAAAAGCATGCTCCTTCTCTGTAAAGACAACGTCTTTTTCCTAACCTCGCTGGACTTCTCGCACACACTGTCTACCTCGATCCTTACACGACAGACTCCTCATCACACGGCACACAGCCATCCTCATTGCAGATGTCAGGACATGGGTGGACGACTCTCTCTTCAAGTACGCTGCGCTTCTTGCTCTCCTCATCACAGGGCACACAGCCATGTTCATTGCAGATATCGGGACATGGTAGGATCGGCTCTGGCTGAGTACATGGCACACATCCTTCTCCCTCGCAGACACGAGGGCATACGATGTCCCCCTCCGCGCTCCGTTCAGAGAATAGGGGAGTGGCGAGGACAGCTGAGTCAGGTTAGTCAAGACGATCGATGCAACTAGAAGAAACCTGAGAACGTTAGATCACTGACCCGATGCTGTAGAGAGTAGCAAGGCATATCTGAAGATGTCGAAACGCATGGTGCTGATTTATTTGAGAGGCTTGGTAAGTCGAAGAGGTGCGTGTGTGTTGCAAGGCTTTCGGAAACTCTGGTCTGGAGAGGGAAAAAGTCAGACACTGGAGCCCCAAAGGTGGGCTTTATACGCCATGACCCCTTTTACATGTGACTAAAAAAGATTGTGTTGAATGATACATTACACATTACTTCATCGTATTGGCTTGCTGCCCTTACACTGGGGGTTGCAGTTGAGACCAGTCGGATGCCGTTGATTTCCAACTTAGGAAAGAAGTCCGAAGCACGGTGCCCTGTGGCAATTTGACAGAGAGTGCTTTCCGCGTCTCTCAGCCTGTGGCAAAGGCCTTTCGGTAATCTATAAGCACATGAAACCACCTTCACCCCTACGAGATACTTCCATCATGCATACAAGACTGGTCACCTGAGCCGGAAAGCTTCTGGAATGGCCTTGGTTCTGAGAATCGCCGGCTTATCATTGGCAGCAACCCCTCTTTCCAGCGCCTGGGGTGTAAGGTACACGCTCGGCTGCCTGCAGCACGTGGACCTCTTTAATCTCCGTGAAGATTCTCCACTGGGCGCGGAGACATGACCTTTTTCTTAGCTTAGCTAATGGATGACCTTACACGGACTTTGAGAATCTAGACCTTGTGGCCAAATTTTGCCTAGAAAGAGTATGTGTTCATGACGCTGGGATCCCTCTGCCCAGCGAAGCCAGGGTTGTGTTCTTACGTCAGCTTACAGCCCCGTAGTATTCCTCAGACAGTGTCTTACTCCTCGTCCAGGTCGCTCAAGATGGATTAAACCAATCCTGACGAGCCTGAAGGTCCTCAAGGATGACAAGGTGTGGACGGACGGACGAACGGACAAACAATAAGCACTCAAAAAACTTGAGCCATTTACTAATGGTCAGATCTCCGTCTTACCGTTACATAACTCGCAGCTGAGATCCTTCTTTCAAAAGACTATCCAAGAGTCTGTGCAATAGTCGAATTCTATTTCGAAATTGTAGGTTCTTTGGGTGATGCTGTGGCTGTCGACGTACTTCTTGATTCGCGACCTTTTTGCCACTGCCGGTTCAAAACTTCTTACGTTCTAAGCAACAGTGCCGGGAATGCCGTTGATGATAGCATCCATTTACGCCGCCGATTTATTGCGCAGTAACATGGGCTATGTCAGCGCTGGAGATGGTGTGGCTGATTCCCACAGGGAAAAAACCTTGCGTGAAAAGACTAGCTCCTCAGGAGCCTGGCTAATGATTCGATTTTCTCAGGAAGCCTAGATCCGAGATGGTCTTAATCCAGTGTGCGCTTTGGCCTTGTGACCACAGCTGGAATACAGAGTCTTTCGCCCTTGAGCTATCACGACGGACAGTGCCTCGATCATCGCTGATATCGGGCAAACGCTAGAGGTAATTGAGGCTCCGTTGGACATGGGCTAGCGTTCTCGATAGGCTAGGTTGGTGTCTACCTGCGGCCGTATGCGTCCTTCACTAGATGTTTCAGCCCGAGCGTATGACTTCCCCCAGCTTCCAGATTCATCAGCCAACCTTTAAGTGATATGTATGGAAGAGTCAGAACTTGGATCTTGGACATGATTTAGAGTATGCCAGCAGATGATCCAGCTAATATGATCTTAAGCTACTGGAACGGATGCCAGAGGAGTTCCGGGAGCTTCAACAATATCTAACAATGGCACGGTTTCTGCTCCACCAGGAGCCGCTTTCAATATGTGGGCTTTCGAATTTTGATCAACAGGTATCCCATCTCCTGGCAGGGCCGGTGTTTCGTCGTTTTACTATGCGCGGAGCGTCTGAACACGCACATCAAACTATTCCCATAGAAAGCGCAACAGCTTTTTGTTATCAGTACCAAATATAGCGAACAGTAACCCAGACATTCTCGTCCGGCCTGATATTCCAAACTTCATCGATGAAATGTTTCTCTTCCTTCCTTGCAAGACATGCTCATCATCGACACTTTTATGGTATCTCAGGCCAGCGCAATCAGCGACCCTTCCCACTGCGAATTTCTTCCCTCGCATCTTAGTATCTACTCCCACGGCAGCGGCCTCTATACAAGCGTAGACGGTGTGCACATCGTCTACCGTTGCGCGACTCAGGCCTTACTAGACAGAATGCTGAGCGCGCGGGAATTGGGCCATTTGAGAGGAGCGACGCGTTCATGATGAGCAGTACGCACAAACTTTTATCAAATCCGTGGGGCATTTGGAACGTTGTAATCCATCTTATCAGACAATCTATATTGTGGGGTTTGGAAAGGGAGACGAGCTTTATCGTGCTGATGGATAGGGCTGAGGGAGGCGATGCAGGGAGCGGGATGGTGAGATACTTAGAGGTAGTGGACAGCGGGACTGTGAAGCGGGGACCTCTCCAAATGTGTTGAGACAAACCTTTTCCAAAGAGACACCTCTTTGTGCAAAGCCTTTCTGAAAGAGGCACGAACACGAGAAAAACAATCTTTTTCAACACGCCGACAACACTTCTTGTCGTGACTCTTTACGACTCTCAAATCCTCAAGTTCAAACCTGGTGACCGTCATACTTATTCGCACGCGGATGTCTTCAAATCCCCGTAATTCGTTCCAGAATCTCTTGAGTCGGTGTCTCGGAGACCATCAGCCATCGAAAACCCCCACCATGTCGCAGCAGTTCCTCAGCCAGGTTCTCAAAGTCGAGAACGAGACCGCAGACTCTCTAGTCGCTTCACTCCTACAAGTAGAGTCGGACTCGAGCGAAGCTTGCTGCATCTGCTTGCAAGGTATCGGAACACTAGTAAGTCTATTTCTATACACGATTAGCTCCCCGTCAGCCCGGAATCAAAGCTACGAGACTTGTCCCAGAAGAATTCTATTTCCAACTCTTTTCGGATGATTGAGCGGAAACCGTACTACAAGAGACGCTAACACGTCGACCTTCAAGTCTTCCGAAACAGGAGTCATCGAATGTGAAATTCGCCTCCCTTGCTCTCACAGAGTAGGATCCGCGTGCATCGCAATTTGGCTGCGCACGAACAACACATGCCCCGTGTGCCGCCGTGTCTTCTTTGCCGCCCAACCACCGCCCTACCTTGACTCGATTCCATTCGAGGACGAAGACTCAGAGATAGAGGACGAGCCGGTCTCACTGGAGGACGGACCCTTGGAGTTGATGTACGAGCCCGTTCCAGCAACAGTGCGTTGGGCCTACGTGACCACAGATATCGATTACCTCTGCGATGCATTCTGCGAAGAGCTCGCTGTATCCCATAACACGTTCAATGTCGCGCGGGAAATGGCTCAACGTCTGGCGCTCAGTATGGGCGAGCATCACACGCCAGGTTACATCGTGTCCGTCACTTTCTACATGGTAACGCACATCATGAATGAACGCAGATCGCTCGAGGAGATATGGGGAATCGCAAACGTCCAGACCGAAGAGATCCACCAGGCCTACAGACGTATTCATCCCACTCGAGAGCAGCTGATCCTACCGCATATGTTTGCGGCGCTCGGCGGTGATAGTGTACAGAATTTTCTCGAATCATTACCTTCTCCCAGTACTGAGAACGGATTTACAGATCAGGAAGATGGTGGCACAGACCTTGAGCACTATCTAGTTCCAGCTCAGCCGAAGCGACTGGAGGAGCTCTGCAATCAATATAGCGACGAGCTGGCCTATTTCGGAGGTATTCGTGACATCTGTCTACAGATCGCTGGGAAAATACGAGCTGGGCTGTATCTGGCGGGTCTCTCTCCTCTGCCGGTCATCGCAGTCAGTCTCTACATGGCGTCTCATCTCGCGAGTTTCGGCACACCGATTAGGCAGATATCTGAGGTCGTCGGCATCAGCGAGGGCACGATTCGAAACGCTTATCGAAGAGTCCATCCATGGCGAGGTGAGCTCATCGACTCCGATATGCTCGACACGCACGAGGACGTTCGCAGACATAGAGTTCTCCGGGCTATAGCCTGGCCTGCTTTATAGTTGCACCGTTTCGATGGAAGGGGAGGGCGGGATGGGTCGAGAAGCAGAGTCAGCAAGACTGAAAGAGGCTGAGATGGATATTCTTGCAAGCATGAGAGCACTAGAAGCAAAGGAACCTCTGACCTAGGGACAAGACTGAACTTGTTGGCTGTTCAACAACCCTACGACTTCTGGTCCTCTCTAGCGAAGCCTGTGTCTCTTTGCCGCAGAGCAACACATTCGATCAAATATTTGATAATGCCCGTATCATTGCGAGGAAGACTGTCTGACTCATTCCCTTTTGCAATTGTTTCGCTTACTCGTCTCAAACGCCTTGTTGTTCTGTCCCACCCAATATTGCAAGCAACATTTCTTTTACTACGGAAGTGGATCGTTATGCACGGTCTGAAACCAAATAAATCCGATTCTCTTATAATTCATCCTTCCACAACAGTCTTTATAAACTTTTAGAAAAATACATGATAAAGCGTTTAGAATAAATTTTTTGGAACCTCAATAATTCTTAGAATCGGATTTGTATTGATAAAGTCATATAAATAGTAGTCCGACTATTCGCTATCGTAGTTCGACTATTCGCTTCGCTCATAGTAGTCCTTAACTCAAAGACGCACTAGTCTCAAAGACGCGAAAATCTATTATTCCTTTCTAATTCTATATAGATCTTATTCTATAACTCGAATTCTAATAAATATATCTTAATATATATATATTAGCTTCTATAGACTATAATTCAACTTTCGAATATAAGCCTTAATAGTCTTATTGACCTTTTTTTACTAAATTTCCTTAGCTCGAGTAACTCGCTTTAAAGCCTTCTCCGCCTTTTCTATAGCTGTTTCTTCTATTATAATTAGAGATTTACATATTTAATCTATTAATATCTATTCTCTCTTCTAAATAATCGTCTTAGAAAGTATTTTATATACTCGCTTAACTATAACCTCTTTATAAATAACCTTAATATTTTACTTAATAATTTATCTCGAGTAGTTATTAGTAATAGATTCTTTTATAAATCGAGCTAATAATTATTATATATTTTTTAAAATAATAAAAGTCTAAGTAGTAAATAATTCTTTAAATTATTAATTATATTTAATAATATCTTCGACTTTATAAGGAGTTTTAATAAATATAAAAGATATATTTATCTAAAGTTATAGCGCGAGATATTAGATTTCTAATTTTTTTAAGTACTACTTTAGAGTTATAGAGTATAAAATTAATCTTTTAAAAGATCGAATATATAGTACTAAATATAAAGATTTAGATTTTTATTTAATTAAATATTATAAGAAAGTTAAATTTATTAAAGTCGCTACTTTTAAGATATATAATTAAATCTATAGTCTTTATATAATAATATTTAAATAATTAAAAGTATTCTATATCTAATAGCTATATAATTAGTATATATAAAAGAATAAGATAGGGCTGAACTAGAAAACCTTGAATTTGTATATGCAGCTAATTATTAATTCGTTAGGTCTACGCTTTTTGATTAGACACCGCGGGTAAACAAATTAGCATCCGCAACCATCAAAAAAATAGGTGTACGTTATTGACACATAGAATAACTTTTTTGTTTTCTATTAAGTTTTTGAGATTTTTTTTTAAATTGTAGACCGGAATATGGGCTTTCAGATAAAAAAAGAATTTCTAAATTTAGTCTTATAATTATCAAAGCGCAAGGAATTCAAATATCGCTCACCAAAGTTCGCTCACCAAAGTCCGCTCCACAGCCCTGATCAAAAAACAGGTGTACATTATTTAATTTTAAAATAACATTTTTGTTTTCTATTAAAATTTTGAGATTTTTCTTTTAAATTATAGAACGTAATGTGGGCTTTCAGATAAAAAAAAGAATTACTAAATTTAGTCTTATAGATATTTAAAGGCAAGGAATTCAAATATCGCTCACCAAAGATCGCTCATCAAAGACCGCTCACTAAATTTACTCGACAGCCCTGATTAAAAAAAACGGTTATGAATTTAATTCATAGGCCTTTACTCGTATATATAGAATATAGAGGAAGTATAAATAAGTCGATCTTTAATTGTTAAATAAATGTATAAAATTCGTAGATATAGTAAAATTCGAAGCCGTCTAGAATTAAGACCCTTTATTCTCTTACTTAATAATAATAAAAAAATATATTAAAATATAATAGTTAATCGTATACTAGTCGATTATTTAAATATTTAATAAATAAAATAACTAATATAGTATTTGAAGATAAGTCGTTTTTATCTTATTTATATAGAATATAAATATTTTTTAGAATTATAAATAGAGGTATACTTTAGTCTTCGATGTTAATATATTTTATAAATATAATATAATTATAATTATCTAAATCTACGAATTATAGAGGCTTACTTTTATTTAAAGTAATAATATAATAAATAATTCTATAACTAATTCGAAAGTTAGTCTCATTTATATTTTAAATATTCTAATATTATATACTCTTCTCTTTATAGCCCCGTCGAAATTTCTTATATACTACGCGTATACTCTTAATATTATATATATTCTTATACTCGATATTAAGAGATTTTTACTTTTATTTATAATATTTAAAATATTATTTTATAAATTATATAATCTAATCTTTATCGAGTAATTTAGAAAAATAATATAAATTTAAAATAATTTTTAGAATATACTTAGTAATACTCTAAATATAATTTAATTAAAGTAAATACTCGATATTATTTAGACGATTAATATAGTTATATAGCGACTATTTTTAAATTATAATAAGATATATATAAGTAAATATTTAAATACTTCTAGAAGCTTATCCTCGAAGTTATCTTTATATCTATCGCGATTTAAGATTATAATACTCTACAACCACTATAGCGCTATAAAAATAATTATTTTTATACTTATTAATAGTCTTTTAGACGAGTTTCTTTTATTTAGAATAAGATATAGATATAGTGTAATAGAATAATAGTGGATTATAATATAGGGTGTCAAATCGCGAAAAAACGCGTCTTTAAGACTAGTGCGTCTTTGAGTTGCGGACTACTATGAGCGAAGCGAATAGTCGGACTACGATTAAATAGTGTAATAAAGTCTAGGGTGGGCTCGGGGTGAGTTCGTGGATAGCAGGCATTTCCGGGTGGATACGAATAAGCTAAAGGATCTCGGGAAAGGTTTGCGTGTCTTTTGTGTTGCCAAAGTCATTCTCGATAGGAATAGAGGGAATATAGATATAGCTGTTCGTGAAACCTCAGACACGTATAGGTATGCTGAGCACTTGGATTATTGCAGGTCTTGGCAAGAGATCAAGCTTTCGGGCGAAGGTGTGGCGCTAGCCGCTAAGCTAGACCGTCGGCGTAACCCCGGGGTTGGAAAACATTGTCCCGAGGGTTCGTTCGACCAAGTCTCACATCTTCAGCATCAGGGGGCATTGCTTGTTATCTGCATTTGCAATTGCATCAACATCAACATCCATTCTACTTCTCTTCATGCTTGCATAGCTTCTTGTCCAAGCCAGTGCATCCCTCATTGCTCCTGCCTGCTCCCCATGCAGCAAGCTATGGCCGCGCGCCGGCGACCACTCTTCTTCATAGCTGTTCCCGCCCTCGTCTTCATCTACTTCTTCAGCTTCACAGGGAAACATTCCGGACCGTTCACGTATCCTCCTCCCATACCTCCATCTGAATCGTTAGGCACCCATGCGGGCCTCGAGAATTGTACGGATGACTTCGACGCCAGCTACGAGGGTCTGCGGGTCCGCCAGGCAACCATGCTGTATGAGGGGGACAAGGACAAACTCAGAGGCATCTACGAGCGCTGTGTCGAGACACATCGGAAGCATGGTGATAGATGGGGAGTTCCGACGCATGTGCTTAGCCATGCTCTGTATGAGGACAACTCATACTTCAACAAGCCCGCGTACCTACAGTCGCTCATCATGGTCGAGTTGGCTAAGCCTGCTGCCAAACGGGCGGACTGGATAGTGTAAGGCATTGCTCCGACCCAATCTCGGTGCATGTCTCTGACAATCCTTGCTAGGTGGTTTGACGGAGATAGTGTCATCATGAACCCCGAAATCCCCTGGACCATCTTCCTCCCACCCTCCGACCTTCACGACTACCACATACTCGGCACACAAGACAACAATGGTTTCAACGCTGGAATGCTCATACTACGGATTGATCAATGGACCGTCCGAGTACTCAGTCAGGTCCTAGCCCTTCCTGTTCTGCAACCGAGCGTCGGTCTTCCCTTTTACGACCAGAGCGCCCTTGACTGGGTCTTTCAACTACCGGCCAACCAAGAACACTTCATCTTTCAGCCTCGCCACTGGTGGAACCGATACTTCTTCACGGGCGACGGCGACCAACCTGGCGAGATGCTGCTACATTTTGCTGGAATCGGTGCCCAGTCTGGAGGAGGTAGTCAAGAGAAAAGTGCCGTGATGCGCAAATATCTAGAGAGGGCAGAGACTGACCCGCAGAGCTGGACAAAGGATCTCTCAAAGACGCCGTATGAGAAAGAGACCAAGGCTTTCTGGGATGATGTGAGGGATGCAAAAGAGACGCTGCAAAAGACTGGGAAGTGGTTCAGGGACCATCCGGCAAACAAGCATGTCCGCGAGGTGCAAGAGGCCGAGAAAGTTCTACGTGAGACACTTCTGAGGGAAGCGGACAAGGTGGATTGGCTGTCTGGGAATACGACTCAGCTGCAGAAACTCCTACGGGACTGACAGTAATCAAGAGCTGGAGGAAGAAATCTCAGGGCACAGAGAGGCATGAAATATGAAGAAGGCTACACCAAGGCGCGCGGCAAGCCCGCTCGTGCTCGAAATTTAGAATGGGCCTCCTTCGGTCAGCCATTGCGCCCTCGCGCCCAATGCCCGTCAGCACTAGCCCAACAACCACAGAACCACCCATGTTCATCACCACATTTCTTGGGACATAGGCCCTCTTTGTTATTTCGAGCATGCCGGTTTGGACTGCGGTCAGCGAGAACGCATGCCGCACTATCGTGAGTTCGAAGTAACGAGTCACCACAAGCATCCCATTTTGTCGCAGGACCCTGTCAGTATCGCTTTCTGGACCCTCAAATCAGCATGAGGGGAGGCGTTGACACAATCGCCGAGCGTCATCTTTTCTGTCAACACGAATCTTAAATTTGCATAATCATTGAGCGTCTTTGATACTGATCATTCTTTGTGTTAGCGTGGCGTTGGAGATGGGGGACTGACTGTTCTATTGTTAAAGACGAGCCCAGCTGAAATAAAACCAATGATCTGGAGCTCAGCTTGTTGACTGCAGTGCAGTGATGGTGACCAAGTTTCTAGCAGTTGTTGAATTTGAGCTCAATCGTCTTCCGCATGACGACAATCAGTATCCCCAGTCTGGGGCAAATACATGCCTGGAAAAACTACGATTCGTCCCATTCATGCAGGCTATCGCAAGCAATGCCTTGATCGATTCGAGCCCCTCCTTTCTTGTTGGTCATTATTTCGAGATCGCCTTCGCGGCTAGTACAGCTGCAGAAGCGCGTGCATAGTGGAGCATCTAACCATGTATGTCTACAGTAGGAGCTTCTCAGCAGTACAGAACTCCTGTTCTCAAGTAAAACCACATCTGACCGTCTTCCACCAGTTCTGCGTCCTCAAGACTCCGCGGTAGTTGACCCAACTCCGAGATCTGACAATGGCGCTGCTGTTCCCACCTCCCGCCTCCGTTCCGCTGTTTGGCTTTACCCCCTTCCTCGTCTACATCCTTAAAGGTATATCATCTCGTATCGCAAGCTGCGTCAATTCAAAGGTCCATTTCTGGCGTCCTTACCACATTGTTTGCTATTCAAGGCCACACTCCATGGTCGAATTGCTCCAGCCGTCGCAGGCCCGTTAAGGAAGTATGGTGAGGCTTCGCGATGCTATAAAAATTTCGTAAGGAAAAATCAATATCTACAAAAGCTCTCCGGCCTGGGTTAGTCCGAAGCTACTTCATACCAATGACCTGGTTGTGATGCAAGCGACGATCAAATTTCACACTAGGCACACAATGCGATGGTACGCGACTGCACCAGACGCAGGCTTTGCATTTTTTACAAAGAAGCGAAGAAACCCACCAAAGTTTCCGGGCGTCCATGAAATGAGGCACATTTGTATAATCTCAAGCTACTGCTGATACTCGGCAAAGAACTCCCCACCCTCGAATGCACCGTCAACGCCCGAATCCTTGACCTCATCCGACGCATCTTCACCACTAACCAACCCTTCGATATGCCACTTTCGTTCAATAAATCACTATGAGTATCCTCACATGGCCATATTTCCTGACATGATCTCTCGAATAAGCGCACACTCCACAGCGTCACCACCAGCGCGCGCTTAAGATTTTCCCATCTCCCGCCCTCTAAACATCATCTCCTGCTCCCAAAACATTCCAACCGCCCACCTCTTATGCACAAATCTCCTCTCCGGATCCTTCGTCTTTACTTCAAACCGCCTCAGAATCTCCAAACACAATTTCTGCATCTGCATCTGCGCCAGATATTTCCCCGTACACTGCCTCGTCCCGTAACCCCACCACATCCCATACCGTTCCATCCGCGCACTGCGCTCTTGATCCTCCAACCATCGCTCGGGCCGGAACGTATCGGCGTCCTCGCCAAAGACGGCGCGGCTGCGATGGATGATGTACGGCGAAGCGGCCATCTCCGTCCCCGCCGGGATGACCTCGCCGTCATACACCAGTCCGCCCGCCGAGACATAGCGAGGCAAGATGGTCTGCGCGGGGGACTCGAAGCGCAAGCATTCGCTGATGCAGGCCATGAAGTACGGGAGGGCGGTCGTTTCGGCGTGGGAGACGACGGGGCCGGAGAGGGCGCCGCGGCGCTCGAAGTCGGTGATTTCGGCCATGAGCGTGCGGTAAATGGAGGGATTTTGGGTGACGTGGTCGATGAAGGGGGAGATGAAGGCGGCGAGGCCGTCGAGGGCGGCGGAGGTGAAGAGGATATGCTCGGCGGCGATTTCGGAAGGGCTTAGGGATTCGCGGCTTGGGTTAGGGATCAAGAGGCTAGGGAAGATGTCAGTGGAAGTGGTGGATGGGAAGTTTTGCGGGTAAAGGGGGGGGGGGAACCTGTCGAAGAGGCAAGGCCGGAATTTGAGATGGGGTTCCGTTGATCGTTTGACCATCATGTTCTCGTAGTTCTGCAGGAGAAGATTAGTGATTGGGAAGCGTGTTGAACAAAGGAAGATTCGGGATTGCCTGTACGTCTGTGAGTTTCTTGATGCCTTTTGAAGCCTTCAGGTACGGCACGACCAGTTTCTTCAAGAGAGCGTTTTTGATGAGAGGGATGAAGAGCCAGGGTAGAACTGCTACGGTACCGACCATAGAGTATGCGCTTTGTATAGCATCGATCAGTCCGTTGACGTCGTGTCCCTGTGCGACGCATCCCAGCGGCTCGCCGTAGGCGATGTGACTGTAGACATCGGCAAGCCACCAACTGAGGCATAGGCGTTAGAAACTCTCTAAAATCAAGTAAAAGCCAGTTCACAAGACGAGTAGTCGCAATCACGAATCTAGCAGAGCCTTGCGGGCAAGAGCCCAGACAGCGCAAACAACATACCTCAGGCGGTGGGAAGAGGATGCTCAAGTATTACGAAGGTACATGTAGCGTAGAATTCGGAAATAAGACCTACCGAACGTACTCTGAAAAGTCGACAGCTTCGTGTGCCGCAGATCTCTGTTTGATCCTATCGCACAATTCTGCAATCCGTTCATCGATTGTCTTTTCGAACTTCTTCAGGGTCTTCATCGAGCACTGTGCACTCAGGCAGTGGATGTCTGGAGTACAATAGCTGGGAACAGAGGACTTTGACTTACGCATGGAGCCACGATCTTCGACTTCCTAGCATGCTCCCTATTATCCAACGTTTGAAACATTCCAACCGCGTTGCCAAACAGCCAGGAGCTATAGAAAGGTGTTTTGTCAGCCCGCGCATGATAAATGTCCGGTAACAGGCGTGGGTCACAGAACGACAAAAGGTTGGGAGCGAGACGGATGAGAGGCCCTTGCATCGACGATTATGCATTAGCCCATTTTCTCTAGATCAACGCGATTGGAGTAGAAACCGTGTTCTTGGTGCAGTTTTAGACCCTCTGTTGGGATCGAATTGATGGCGTAGAATTTGTATAAGTCTGTTACACTACCCCAAAATGGTCCAGGATACCTCGACAAAGGATGGAAATAGCGATTGTAGACTGCTTTGTAGACGAGAAACGCGGCAAGAGCTAGGAAGGTTATGAATAGGAACCCGGGCAGAATGACACCTGGCAACCTCCAAGCATCTGTTATAAAATTGGTTGTGAAATGCATGACTGTAGATAGTGTTGGAAGATTGTATTCCTGGTGTAGTCTATAAAATAGAAGGATGAGAATGGTTGAAAGAGCAACATCGAGCGGTCCTGTATCGGTTAACTCCGGCATTCCACACACTCTGTCTCTCCCCCTCCCCCCACACCACCACACGCACACACGCACACACACACACGTCCTCGATCCAGGCAGAAGCAATCCAACAGACCACAACGATACATCAACAGCAACTAAATGGGGCGATGGACGTTCGACCGAGATAATTTCGAAGAGCTGGAGCTCCTTTCGGTAGAATCTTTTATGCGGCTGTGTTATACGGATATGCTCGAGGCTTTTTCGTGCAGAATTGCATGGTAGACATGACTGGAGCCAATAGATTTGATGCGATCAAATGCATGCCACGGGAAGTTTGTGTAGATATCACAGAGGGTCCTATCGGCGATTTTTTCAGAGAATGTGACATTAGCATACGGCTAGGCCTCAACCGGGTCCAAGCACGACGTAGGTCATCTCCAACGCTGTGTCCCAGACGAATGTGGGTTGCTCTTAGAGCTGTCATGCTGTAGGAGCAATTACGAGATGCACTCGGGTCGGGCTCAATGTTTGGTCATCGCTTACCTAGCGGACAAGACCGGAGATTTATCTCTCGACTCGGCAGCCTATTGGATCCGTTCTCTGCAGGATCCCGCTAGAATACGACATGAAAATCTCTCACATGTCCTTGACCATCAAAGTAGCCGAAGACGTTTTCTGCAGCATTGCCTCAGAGCGGAGCAACCATGACCTGTGTACATGCCTTGAAAGAAGGGCGTACGCGTTTTATTGAGACTTTCAGGAGGTTGGGATTCAAGCTTAGCTCGGTCTTAAGCGTCCCAAGGCATCCTTTCGATCCTCCAATCCCTGATTCACCCAGAAGTGTAAAATATAATAGTAGTCTATTTAATTAAGAAGTAGTAGTAGCTATCCCTTCCTTGTGTTCGGGAGGTCCACGCTAGCAGGGGCCAAATGTAGGGATTTTCATTTGTCCAATGATCGCGGTTCACTGCGGCTTAAGACTTTGCTTACTCATGAGCGCGGCAACGTCGATCTGACCAATTCATACCCCTACATTTGACCCCTACTAGCGTGGACCTCCCGAACACAAGGAAGGGGATAGTAGTAGTAACTATCTATATCGGATTTATCGGGTTTAAGAGCGTGCAAATGGGGGTAACGTGCAAATAGGGCTGGAAACGAGTAATCTTAATAGCTGCTGAACTTAATGCGCTGATCGTCTTCGACCACCGAATGATTAATTCGGACCCTCCGCGAAGCTCTGCAGCAAAATCAGTGCCAGCCCTACTCCTACTTTATTCTCCGGGGATCGACTGGAGCGCATTAGCTGAACCTTGGAGCTCCAAGCGCAAGATCCAGGCAACCGTTCTCGCCCTTCAAGCTAAAGAAAATCCCGGCATCTTGGTGCAGGAGTCTTGGCGTCGAGGACTTTTGGTGTAGACCTCCGTCAATTGGTCTGAGAGATAATACAAATAGAGGACGGACGGGGAAAGTGATAAACAGAGTTAAATTTGCCTTGAAACGAACGGTCCGGAGGATCAGGCGCTTTCCGTGTTCAATGACCGAATCACCACCGGATGAGGCCATCTGCAGCTTCGGATTTATTCTTTTGCTCTACTTTTGCTCTCCGATTGAGACAAGTGTGGGTAGAGTACCTCGCCAATGCTCGGTGTCCGTTGAGTAGTATATCGCTTAGACATACATGCACAAACCGGGTTAATACCCTCTGATGCAATTACGCACATTGCCGGTCATGAGCTCGACCAGTGTGGAATGTCGTCAGATCTGCGCGGAGACGGCAGTAGAAGGATCGCGGAATTACTTAGTGGTCGCTGCGGAATACGTTTTCATCGGCACATGAATCCTTCTCGCCTTCTCCTACAAGTCTTGGGACTCTTTGCAAAGACTCTTGAGATCACCAGACGGTGTGAGGCTTATGTTTGGCCTGCGTGTAATACAAACATAAAGCATCTTTATTCAATTTCGTTCAATCAGAATAGCCCAACATGGATTCCTTGGAACCCCCGGCCGGAGGTGATCAGAACAGAGGCCCCGAGTTGGTTGCCGTTATTTGGGTCTTCACCGCGCTGGCCTCCTTCGTTGTTAGCCTCAGGCTGTTCACAAGGGTCAAAATCTTGAAAGAGACTGCTCTTGATGATGTATTTACAATTCTTTCTCTGGTAAGCTCGCGCTCTTGGTTGTATCTTTCTTCTTCAGTTGGCCGGATATCTACTCAAATGGTCCGGTACAGGTTCTCGTTCTGGTATGCACTTCTGTCATTACTGCCAGTGTGAGCGCCGGCATGGGACGGCATGGATACTATCTCTCACCCCACCAGAGAATACAAGCGACGAAGCTCAACTATATATCCAACCCTTTTGGTATTATGGCGTACTCACTTCCCAACGTGTCAGTTGCAATCTTTCTCAATAGGATTTTACGCCTTCCAAGATTGCAAAAATGGCTTCTGTACAGCGTGCCAATCGCCCAGTGTGTGATTGCAGGGATATCCTGCGTTTTATTGTTCGCTCAGTGCACACCCTCCCGGTTTCTTTGGGATCCTGCAATTCCCGCGAGGTGTCTTTCCGCGACAGTACTCACTGGATACTCCTACTTCGTCGGAGGTGAGCATTCGGATATCACCATAACGATCATCTGTTGCTGACCTACTCGCTACAGCGTATTCTGCATTCACAGATGTCTTCCTCGCGATCATACCTGCATTTGCGTTCTGGAAACTTCAAATGAAGCCCAAAACCAAGCTTGGATTGTGTTTTCTGATGAGCACCACGGCCCTGTACGTATTGGAGTGCCATGTAGCGTACCGGAAAATCTGACATTTCCAGTGCCGCGATATGTGCGATTGTCAAAACATCTAAACTCAATGAGCTGGCTGATCTGGCTGATTTTACATGTGCGTACCTCATATCCAGTGCGGCTCTGAGGTCTTTCGATCATCGCTGACAGCTGCATCAGATGCCAGTGTGGACCTTTTGATTTGGGCCGTGTGAGTATTTTATGTCACTCTTGAGGCTTCACCAACTCTGATACCTGTTTATTTACGCAGTGTTGAGGCGGATGTGATCATCATCGCCGCCTGCATTCCAAGCCTCCGTCCATTCGCTTTATCTGTCGGCCAGTCCCTCCGGGATAGTAATGGCAAGTCTCGCCCCAAACGAGCTTGGTATCAACAGCATAGCAGTGATGTACCTCTTGCATTGAAGCCAATGGTACCGGGTGAGAATGGCAATGGATCCAACAATAGCACCGAGGGTGGGTTGAGTCGCGCTAGCTCGACTCCACCGAAGGTGGTTCAAGAAAACCATTGAAATCGTACTCGAGGGGCATTTCAAATCATGTCCAACAAAGCTAGAATAGTTGTAGCGAGAAGAAGACAGGAATGAAGTAATTAGAACTCTATTTTACAGATTTTGGGCTTCGACAGTGTAGATCAGACGGACACACTTCTTGCAATTCTAGCGAGACCTTAGGCGTTGGAAATGGTTGAGGGAAGAGTTGCCTGTCGCCCACATGAGCACCAAGAAGTAGTGACCTAAAAGGAGCTTCTCCCACGGATAAGAGTGTAGGGTTCCAAGACAGAAGATGATTAGCGCAAGATAGATACATCCGAGTAAGTAAGATTAGAAGGCAAGTCTAGGGTCTCTACAAACTCACCGTTGCCGAAAACGATCTGATAGAGGATGGCGTTGCTCTCCGTGAAATTTTGGTCGGCGAGTTACAAATTGCCGATCCACGAACACTACATGCAGGTGAAGTCTGCCTGGCTGGACCCCCACCGTGCATATGCATGTCAGATGCTTGATCCGTTGGCAATGATGATTCCCTGGATTTCCCGAGGTGGATGATATTCGTACCATAAAGCGGCTGAAGCGTGATGACGAGTTCTGCGCTCTCCCATCCACATCCTATCTTTTTCGGAGTTCCAGGGGGCTGTTCGGGACTAGCGCCTTGGCAACGATTTACATGTCACTGTACCTTCCTTACCTTACCTACTTACTTCTAATTAGCTTTAGAATCTTCGTCACTCACCCACCATAGAATTGCGCTGACACCTTCCTCAACTTTGTATTGTAAGACGCCTTCTTCTATCAACATTTGCCCTTTAGACTCTTCCCTCTCTCGAAAGGCCCTCCGTTTCCAGCAACAGCCGTCCAATTTGTGACTGCATGATCATGGCTTTATCCACAGATCACTCCACGCGAAGCGTAGCGGACATCCTAGGAGCTATTGCCGCATCTACTGAAGCTGTTGCCCAACAAAAGCCAGGAGCACGGGAGAAAGTACTGGCCTTGTCCCATCAATTAGTATCTGCTCTCGAGACGCCAAGTGAAACAATACAAAGGATGGGATGGGCAGAGGTATTTGATTCGTCTCCAAAAGCGTACAATCTCATGGGGTCTTACGCTGAGTCTCGTCAGCCTGCCCGATTTGCTGCAACTCAACTCGCTGTCGACCTCAATATCTTCGAGAAGCTCGAAGAAACTCATGATGCTCCCGTAAGCCTGTCTAATCTGACAGAATCCACAGGTGCGGATGCTGCGTTGCTCGGTGGGTTGTCTTCCATTGTGCCCTTGACGTTCAAGGCTCCCAAAAGCGAGAACGCTCACTACTTGCATAGCCAGGACAATGAAGCATCTTTCGGCCATGAACGTGGTTGGTGAAACAGGGGCAGACGAATATATTTCTACACCAATCTCGACCGCCTTGACCGTTCCCAAGTTTCGCGATGGGATAAGCTATCTGTATGCATGCCCCTCCGCAGGATTGTCACTCTTCGTACTGATCCATTTCCTGAAGCTTCAATGTTGCCGGACCTTCGTTTCACTCCATCCCTGCTTACCTGAAGGCAACCGAGTACGGAAACCCGGGAAACATCGCTGACGGTCCCTTCCAATTCGCACACAAAACGCAGAACCCTTTCTTCATCTGGCTCGCCGAGCACCCAGGATACGGAGAACAGTTCAATAACTACATGAGCGGATATCGCCAGGGAAAGCGCAGCTGGTGTGACGAAGGCTTCTACCCCGTGATGGATCGAATTGGCCAGGGGCTGAATCCCGAAACGCCGCTTCTTGTCGATGTGGGTGGTGGCCTCGGTCATGATCTGCTCGAGCTCAGGACCAATCACCCCGAGCTCTCCGGCCGTCTGATCCTTCAGGATCAGCCGGACGTCATCAAGCAGGTTGGGAATGCCGCGGAAGGCATTGAGCTGGCTGTTCACGACTTCTTTACTCCCCAACCTGTCAAAGGTATGTCCCAACCCGTACATACCCGTGTCCGTTACACCAGACCTGGCAGGACTAAAATTACTACAACATGCAGGCGCCAAAGCGTACTATCTCCACTCCGTACTTCACGACTGGGACGATGCATCGTGCCTTCGGATACTTAACAACATTGTTCCAGCCATGACACCTGGACACTCCAAGCTCCTGATCAACGAGAATGTAGTACCAGATTTTGGAGCAGCGTGGCCGATCACTTCGATGGACTGGCTGATGATGGCGTTGGGCGCGGTGAAGGAGCGGACGGAGAGGCAATGGCGAGGGTTATTACAGCAGGCGGGGTTGGAGGTCAAAGGAATCTGGACCTATGAGCAAGGAACCGAAAGCTTGATTGAGGCTGAGGTGGCAGTATGAGGGAGGAGTGGCCGTGCGCTCATTGCGCGGAGGAGCGAAGTGGGTGTGCTTTTCAAACCAGCAGCAGCAGCTCAACAACCAACCACACACAATTCCCAACCCTTCCTTCTACGCGAGATGAAAGACCAAGCCAAGCCTTGAACAAAGTCTCGACTCGTCACCAGGAAAATAACTATGCCAAAACAGGACCCGCATACCGCACTCCCACCACGCCTAAATCCCACAACCACCCCGCCCTCCCCCTCCCCCCACTCCCATTAAACCAGCATCGACCGACAACCGGATCACCTCAGCGATCTCCGGCGCTCGAGAAAGCCACGACTTTTTCCCCCGCGTGGTTGGCGCCCCGTCCTTCAATTTGGCCCGTTCACAAAATGTACACGTGTATGACGGGGTGAAAGGACGCAAGGTCAGGCTCGTAGATGGAGTTCGACGGTATCGTGACGGTACGATACGATACGATACGAAACAATTGATTGATTGACTGGTTGAACATGTGTATGTCATACGTGGATATGCCCAAACTTTTCAACCGTCTCACGCTACTCTACTCATAGTACGCGCCAACAGAGCTCGCTTCGATTCCTTCTTTCGTAATATACTTTGCTTTTGCCAATGAACACCTTCCGCGATCGAAGTCTCCGGTCTGACAGGCACCGTCTTATTCCATCATGTCACGCCTCGTGGGGACACCCACCGAGGTACCATAGCTCGCTGCATCCCATCTTAACGAACGCAGAGGAATCAAGCCTCAATCGCATCTGCAGTACCATCCGTTGCTCTGTAGTGGAGTCTGCTCTGTATGATGGAATCAGCATGGATTGGTTTCCTTATAGAAACACGGCCCTACCGGTTCCCCACTTGCCCAGAACGATGCTCGCCCATCACAGGCTTGCGGACGATGTCCAATGTGTCCGACTCTGAGGGGACAAGACTATCCGCTGGGTTAGCGCAGGAACACCAGGGTTTGGTGACGGTGAGTTGCAGGAGCATCGTCGACCATCGTACGGAAATCCGCAACGTACCGCACACGTAGAGACGATACCGCCAAACGCACACTCGGTGACGAAGAACCTGGCTACGAGATATCAGGGCAGGTAGGGTAGACCTATACCAAGCGCTGTTCATCTCTCCTTTTCCCAAGATCAAGCGTCGAGATAGGGACAGACCCGTAACATGGTTTTCGAGTACATTAGCGCCACACTCCACTCTACTCCACGCTCCACGGATCCTCACCTCGGGTCCTCAACCTACCGTCAATTCCAGAGGGTGGCGGCCTTGTGCACTGACGGCTTCAATCGTTCCGCACCTGATATCTTACCCTTCTTCCATCTTCCCTGCCTCCAAGAACTTCGTGGCGTAACAGTGCCTGATGTTCTCCCATTCTCCTAGCCTGCTACACCCCCTCGTGCGGACACCTGGAAAATACTGCGCCTACAAAGAAGCCACTTGAAAGAAGCCGCCTTGGGGCGCAGTTGCCAGCTGCGACACCAAGCCCCGTGGTGCTCGAGTACGACTTTTGCTGTGTAATATCATATCACGTCGAAGATTGACCGGTTCGAATCCTCGCTTGGGATCGGCTGGATCACGCTTACTCTAGCGCACGTGGAGACCACCCTTGAGATTTTGAGAATCTCGGTCCATTTCTTCTATAGGCGTGGTTACGGCTTGACATGGAGGATGATGCCAAGGATACTTTCAGCTGTGAAGTTGTAGATGTAATTGAAAAAGATATTGTGTACCAAAACTAAATTAAATGAAGGCCTTGGATTGAGAAGGTACATGATTGAGGATACATGTAAGAAAAGGAGACGATGTATCTTATCTAATCAATTCAGCGTCCAGATGTTGAGCCGCGTCCGGAGTACAACTCGACAATTTCGAAAAATTCTCGCTTTGACGAGCTGCTGGATTACATATTCCCGACGACAAGTCAAGGGGGCGAGTTCCTCAGCCGAATGAAGGTTCGTAAGGGCCCTGCCTGCTTGATATCCAACTCCCCCGCGACAATGAGTCAGGCCGAGCGCAGGCTAGTAGAGGTGATTGAGGAGCCGGACGATATCACGGAGGATCAGGATATGGGCATTAGCGATGCCAGCGATTGGGATGAGTTGGCGGGCCTAAACCTACCATTTAGATAGTTTCTTTATTGGAAAGCTTGCTTTCTCAATGCTCAAGACTTGAAATCTTAAATGGCTTCTACGCTAAGAGGCTAGTAACCAATTAGATCTTCGGATTTCATAATTTCTAGTCTAAAATATATCTTATTTCTTTATTTTCGTTTTAAATACGAATATATTTAAAAGAGAAAGTATTATAAGGCTGAATCTCGAATATTAACTTTATTAATTTATTCTATTTAATTTCTTTAATATTATATAATAAATAATAATAAAGTAAATTTATAAAATTATAGAGTTAATTATACGCTTTTAAATAAAGTAGTAAAGATAAAATTTAATAAAGTATTCGTAAAGATATACTAAAAACTAAGATTTTTATTTAAATTATCGAGCTTATAAGAAGAGTTTTTTTTGATAAAAGCTCTCGAAAAGCTCTCGAAGAGCTCTTAAAGAGAAGAGAGGTTTTAGAGAATCTCTCTCTAAATATATTAACTATCTCTCTTAATTTTTAGAATTAGACTTTTTAAAATCTCTTAAACCCTTCGAAGCTCTTTAAGGGCTTTTCGAGGGCTTCTATCGAAGGAGCTATTAAAGTAAATTTAAAATCAATTAAATAGTATTAAAATAATTAAATTTTGAGTTTACTTTGATAGCTCCTTCGATAGAAGCCTTCGAAGAGCCCTTAAAAAGCTCTCGAAGGGTTCGAGGGGTTTTAGGGGGTCTCTCTGAGAATTAAATATGTTAAAAACCAGTACTCGGCAAGCTTTTCACTACTGGGAAGCCCGCGCCCCAGCATATATTTTTGTTCTTTTGTCTTCGATTTATCTGATTTAGTGTTGATTTGATGGAGTTACTCGGTATGGTCTCCCTTCATAAAGGCCTTCGCGTGGTACTCTGTATATACTCGGGCGAGAGTGGTCTATGGGTTTGTAGATTTCCAGATGGGGTACCTCCATCAAGGCGGCTATCTCAGCTAAACAGCCGAATAAAATAAACAACTTTCAAATCAACGACAAGTCAAGGAACGATGCCAAGGAAGCCAAGCTTTCCGCCGCTACCGGCATCTACCGGGAACAGAAGCTTGATTTGGGCGCCAAGAAACCGGTTTTAGCCGCTAAGACGCGTCGTCCAATTTCAAGATTCATTCCTTGCCAGGCTTGCTTGTTTCACCCTTTCCACACCTTCATTAATCCTCTTAACCATCTCATCTCACCTCACCGCCATCATCCCCTCGCACCTCTCTCCCATCCCAACCAGATCAGCCGATACCCACCTTCGTTATCCCAAGCTCACGGCCTCTCGATACCTTCCTTACAGCCAACCACTCCCCGCCCAACCACAGCAAAAATGTCGCAGAATTTCAAAACCATCGATCTCCAACCGCAGCCCGAGAAGCCAATGGGTGCGCATCTGCGCGATGGCGACTCCAAGGATATCATCTCCGAGCAGCCTGTATGTGAACACTGCTTTCCTAAACAACCCTCGGTGTCCGTGCTGACGTGGCGTCTTCAGAGCTCCCGCAAGATGAGCATGCAAGCCGAGCCGCAGGTGTCGATGCGCGGTGGGGGTGTCATTGGCGACTGGTACGTGGCACGGCATTCCCAACTCTCAATATCAGATGTCGGAGAGCGCGCTGCCTCCTCCCCTACTCCTTCCCCAGCCAGTCATGCAGCGGAGTTGCGATTCCAGTCCTCAATTGCCCCGCATCTCCGCCCCGGCTGAACATCGCTGACTTCTCCCGCTCCCGTCTACAGTGTCGACGCCATCGTGTGCTTCGAGTGCTGCAAGGGATGCTGCGAATGCTGCTGCTAGACGTGATACCCACAGGCCAGAGCTGGCGTCCGCGTGGATGGAGCATGTGAAGAGCCGGGACATAACTGGCACGCTGGGTTTGGGAGGGCGGATGGCAAGCCGTAGCTGAAGCGTTCGGGGCAGTCTAGGCTCGATCGGAGATATCCACTACATTCCAGAGTTCATCGGCCCGAGTGTCTGGTGCAGCTCTGTCTGTAGCACAGTTCGTCTCTTCAAGCCAACCTCTCGCTTGCTGTATGAGGATTCCGCGAACCGTTTGTGCCGGTGTACCGTTGCCGCTATTTCCAGGCGGTGAAGACCGCCCGGCCAACAACATCCGTTGGCCTCTCCTAAGTCCGTCGCCTGGACCCTTTCCGTTTCTAATGCGGTATCGTGTTCTCACTCGGACAGTTTCTCGCCTCCCCAGCTCTGCGCTTTTCCACTCTTCAACAACCCATGAAATTTCAATATGTTCATGCTCTGCAATCCATCTCCCCTTCACAAGATGTGCCGCCGGACTCCCCGTCGCATCGACACCGTGTGCCCCTATATGCCCCTCTAAAGCTGCAAGCCATCCATCACGGATGCCTTTCAATAATACCTATCATCATTCCAGCCTGCATGCAAAACCTTGCCCCGTTCCCGATCCCCCCCTTCCGCCGACGTAGCTCCGTGGCAAGCAAGATACCTACTAATGCTCCGTATCCCATCCGATCCCATCCCATCAACACACAAGACACCAAAAAGTGGGGACCTTCGTATCCGCACGCACAAAGCATCTAACCGTGGTTGGGAGTATTTAGTTCGTATTAGGTTCGATTCCTAATGGCGCTGGTACAATGGTGTTGCGATGCTTCTTATTTTCTCTAACCCCTCCGTACCCCATTCCCCATCATCCATTTCCCGCGCGCACGACGGAACCGTGGCCCGGACGCGGAGACAGGCGTCGCGATCTGAGACGTGTCGATTCTCTTACCTAAGATACGTACCTTTCCGATCACCTTACCTACGAGTACCCAGCTTATGTAAAAGTACCTAGGCGGAAAGAGCCGTGAGGGATCGTTAGTGCGCTACGGACGGAGATGTTTTTTTGCGCGTGGGCTGCGGGGGTGGGTCTGACTAATGGTAGGTAGGTAGGTAGGTGCGGAGAGGGGCTCCGGTCTGCATGGTAGATCCTGCGACGTAATCGATGGGACGGGGATGAAGGATGACTTGATTTGATTTGGTGTTTAGGGGGTGAAGGGGGGGGGTTGATAAGTCATTCCATCGCGACTGCGGGGACGAAAGAATGATATGTGATGAGAACGTTGCATGGACATAGCTGATGCGCGATCGTGTGTATGATATTCCGTCACGTGTTGACTATGTACCTACCTATCTGTGCTCCTTTCTTGACGGTAATAGCGGTGGGGATTCCTCGGACGGAGGAGCCGAAAGCCTGTTCTGTTCCTCAGCCTGACTTTGAGGGGCACGATGGCTTATCCCATGCACTCACTGGCAGGGTTCGATAAGTGATCAGGGGGTTTCCCAAGCGGGGCGTGAATGGGAAAAAAGGTCCCTTGTTTTTTTTGGAATCCCACAGTGATTCAACGACGAGAACGCGCATGAAAGAATATTCGATTTGGCAAATTATTCTTCCTCTTCTTGAAATCGAACAGATCTAAAAATGTGCACCCGAAAGTTTTATCTATCGTAAAGGCCGTTACCGATTCCCAAGCCACTTATCGTGTCATTGCGAAAAGAGCCACCTTTAAACTCAGCCAAGACATATCATCATCGAACCCACGGCGGGCGCCAGGACAGGATCGATGGGCTCCGGTACCGATTGTGCTGGCTCGTAATCGTGTGTGGAAGCGGAGCGAGACAATTAGCCGATCATGCTGGACACTTTTACTTTAATCGTCAAGGATGACGCGGGGCAGCTGGTACCAATGTACATACGTCGTAAGTGTACTGTAAGAGCGAAATCGTCATCATATGAAAAAGCATACATCATCAAGTAATCAATCCATGGATCCATCAATCAATCAGTCAATCGGCAGCAAGCCACGTTTCGTTTTCCCGCAAGCCCCGACCCTGACCCTGTTCCACGCCTCGTGGCGCGGTCATGTGTGCTTCAGCCGCGAATGCCAATCCTCGAAAATCCTCCGATGACGCTCATGCATACCTCAAGGGAGAGAGAGGGGGATCGAGAGCAGGGGGGCCACGGAGTTGACAAATGGACCCTTTTTTAATATTTTGGTGGCTTGGGCTTTCCTTTTTACTGTACTACCTACTTTACACAGGTAGGAAAATGCGGGTGATGATCTAGCTACTGTAGATGGCAGTTGGACTAGGATCTGAGCTCAGGAAGATACCTGTTTATCGTTTGAGCTAACGGTTAGCGCGGAAGGCAATCGGAGATGAGAGATTGGGTGCGGTGAGGCTAAATGCGGTGGCCGAATTCTGGGCAGTCCCGTCTCTTTTTTTTTTTTGCCTGCAGTAGTGTCTGTTTCATGGCTTGCACATCATCTCTCCTCTTTGCTCCTCGATCCTTCTTTTCCTTGAAGTATGTATGTGGGTAAGGTATCCTGCGCGAGGCTTTGCACTCCGAGGCGTGTGATTGATGGATCCCATCTGTCTCGCATCTGCGCTGGGTATTTCTGATAGGTGGCACACTCCTCCGAAGGATTCTCGAAGCCTCACGCCCAAGGTGCATTTGAAATTCCTCACGATGGGTGTTCCTACTACTATCAAGCCAACATACCGACGGTCCGTCATAGACCAGGAACGGCCGGCCGTGTTGGACTCGTTAGCTAGCCGAGGCTCCCGAGTTGATCGAGATGTATGGTAGCATTGGTAAAGTATGGTCTCCTTTTTTGTCACTAAAGCTTGTCTCACTCTTAACGAATCACATTTCAAATGCCGTCTAACAGCGCTCCCTTTCCCACCGCCTCCCAAGTATTACCATGGCTCGAATTATTTGCCTGGGAGAAAAGAGGGTGTGAGACTCCGGAGCTAGGCGAAAGTGCCTCCACGCTACCATAGCGCCCCCAGGGAAGTTAAGGTGAAGGCGTGTGCACGATGCTAGCCGGATGCGAGTAAGATCACGCCATGCCATGTGTTTTGGGGTACCTTGCATATAGCGTCCAAAGTCTCGTATCGGATAGGTCCCCTCCAAACGATTCGTTGCAACTGGCACTACCATACACCCTTTTTTTTTGTCCTTTTTACCCTTTGACTTTGACCAATAGGATCTTGGGAAGCGGGGTGAGCCTCCTCTTCGGCTGACTTTGACTTCGATCATCTTTCCCACTCTTCCACTTCTTTGCGTCCTTAGTGCATTTCCCCACTCTAAATATCCCCGTCTTACTTTACTTCTAATCGCATACTTTACCTTTCATCCTTCCCTAATGGACATACCTCCGATCATCATACATTACCCATTATTATTATTATTATTATTATTATCATCATCTCGCGCCCGGCTGTCTCGTCACAATTGTGACTTCTTTCTCGTCGTTTGAGGTGGAATCTTGAATGTCATGGACGTGAGAGTATGCGACTGAGGCTGTATCTCGAGTGCTGTTCACCTGCCATTCCATAACAATCACTTCTTCCCATCCCACCCATAATCCTTCCTCTCCGAGTCGACCCTCACCTTTCAGAGCTGCTGGTCTTCCGTCACCTCAGTCTTTCGTCTGATTCGTCGGAGTAAAACGGTGAAGATTGGCTTCACACACACACCACGAGCACACGACGATCGATGAGTGTATACAGGAATAATTAGCAGCACCGGAGACCGGTCTCCTCGTTCGGCAGCATTAATCGCGCAAGTCACATCGTCACAATGGTGTACCTCAACCCAGGCGGATTCGACTTCGGATCGGAGAATCTGGACGGCTATGGCATTTCCAACATCGTCTTCATCGTCATATACTCGCTCTTCTTCTACTCCGCATGCTTCTTCACCTGGATCTACCGCAAGCATCCCGTTCTCCGAATGCGCAACGTTCCCCTCATGCTCTTGTCCCTGCTCACCATGCATGTCTTCACCTTTGCCGTCATGATCGTCTACACAATGAACGGTGCCTTCCCGTGCCAGGTCGAGTACTGGTGCATGTGCTTGTACTTGCCCATCGGCATCGGCTTGTACCAGGCCTACAACCAGCAATTGCTCATCGTTAGTCGTGGCCAGGCGGCGTTGATCACAAAGGATGAACTGTTCAAGCCGATATTTCCAAAGGGAAAGGGATTTGGCGGTCCCAAGTATTGGGCTTTTCGCTTCAAGGTTTGGTGGCAGAGTGTCAGCTCAAAGGGGAAATACGAGGGGTTCGTGTTGATTGGCATCGTCATCCAGGTAGGCGCTGCTAACGTTTGACCATCACCATCGCTAACACATGGTCCTCCAGTTCACCGTGTCTTTCATCATCTATAACGTCTCTCGCAAATTCAACCACTACGGCATTGTCGACCATCATACATCTCCGGGCTTATGTCGGCGAGGGTGGGAATGGTAAGTTGGATCAGAGTGTGCTGGTTGCGAATCCACTAACAATGCGGAAGGGTTCCAACCGTAGTATGGCAATTTGCGTGGAATTATATTTTCGGTCCGTATCTGCTCTGGAATATTCGCATGATCAAAGACATCTACCATTGGCGGCTACAAACCACGCTTGCCATAATCGCTGGGTATGCTGGTCTGGTCCTCAACGAAGAAAGGAGGCTGACCGCAATAGGCTTCCTGGAGCTCCCATCTGGCTGGCAGCTGTATACAGCGACAAATTCGCGCCAGTCAACAAATACTGGCTCCCTGCAATGTGGTCCGTGACCCTGCAACCGCATGAGAAGCAGCCAAGATCGCTGACCAACGTTTTTCAAGGCTCATTCCCGGCCTCATGACCATCGAAATCGTCACCCTCGGGTTCCCCATCTACGCCATCTACAAGAACAAAAAGGCCGCCCGCGAAGTCAACAACGCCCTCGCAGACTTTGACCAGAAGCGCCTCCAATCCTTCGACGAGGGCACCACGCTCGGCGGCTCCGAACACTCCCTGAAAACCAAGGCTTCCTCAAGAGGCTCCAGCAAGAAAGGGAAAATGTACCCCATGGAATCCCTCGACGCCTGCCTGGCCGGCAACCACGACGGGCTCCAGGTCTACGCCTCCTGCATGGAGCTCAACGGCGAGAACATCATCTTCCTCACCAAAGTCATCGCCTTCACCCAGCAGTGCCAGCGCGCCTTCGCTGACGCCTGCCGCTCCACCGCCGAGTTCCGCCGAGCCCGCACCGCCATGTTCCGCGCCGGCCTCAGCATCTTCGTCTCCCTCGTCCACACCGGCACCGCCTCCTACCCCATCAACATCGAATCCCACATCTACGCCCGCCTCGACGCCGTCTTCGGCCCCGCCACCGCCCTCGTCGCCTCGGCCAAACAGTCCCGGTCGCCCAGCATCGCGTCCCCCAACTCCAAGGTCACCCCCTGGGACGACCCCGCCGACACCTCCTCCGCCGCCAGCACCACCGCCGACCACGACGACGGCCCCACCAACAAGAACAACAACAACAACAACAACAACAACAGCAACAACAACAACGACAGCAACAGCAACAGCGCCGCCACCGGTGGCTACTTCGACACCGTCGCCGATAACGACGCCATCGCCGAAAACTCCTACCCCATGCGCCCCATGGGCAAAGGCTCGCGCAACGAGAGCAGGGAGCACATCGTGCACGTGCGCGAAAACGAAGTCGGCGGCAATCCACGCGGCGGCGACGGCGACCCGCTCGAGGGCGTCGCCGTGCCGGGCGAGTTCGACGAGCGCGTCTTCGACGCCGCCTTCAAGAGCGTGCGGTTCATGGTCTGGACGGAGACGTGGCAGCGCTACATGCACTGGAAGCGGAGGGAGGGCAGCGTGGTGGGGGATTAGAGGCGGGGAGGTGGGGAGGGGGGTGTTGGATTCTGGTACATATATTTTTGGGGGATGGATTTTTGTGTGGTTGGGGTTGTGGGGCGCAAGCGTGCGTTCGTGCTGGACTTGGCTCTACTCTACCGGTAGAGAAGGGGGAATTCTCGCGATTGCGATTGCATCATCTCCCGATGTGCGGTGAGGTGTTATGGGCGGAGAGAGGGGAAGGAAAAAAGTATAATAGATCAGATCAGATCAGATTCAATTCAATATATAAATAAATAAATCAATAAGTAAATAACATCCGGATTCAGAACTCGCCCACCCGCCCGTCGGCAATGTATGCAGAGGTGGTGGGTGTGTACAACATAACCCCCAGTCCCAAGCCGGCTTTTGACCTGTCCAGTCACTCGGCTTGAATCATCAGTCAAAGAAAACCGATTTAAAAACAAAACACAAAAATCACCAAAAAGCTCCCGACTCCAATCTCATCTCTAGATGGCAAAAGTATCAACCTCACTCCCTCCCTCCCTCCATGCCTTTCGACGAAATCCCCCCGTCCATCGTAGAGCCAACCTCCATCGCCACCTTCCACACCAAACTCATCCATCCATCCATCCATCCATAAAACACCAAACTCACCACCCACTACATCCATCCATCCATAGAACACCAGGTACCGAACAGTACCCTAACCACCATCACAACCCGTACCCACACCCCAACAACCGTCGCCACGCCACGAAACGACACGATAGCAACGATGCCGACACGATGGCAACGACGCCAGCACGCCCGCCACCGTGGATATGACACGATGGTATACGGATGGCATCCATCACTTACTCACTCACTCACGCCCTCGGTAGCGATTGACGAGAGAGAGGGTGTGTGTGTGTGTGTGTGTGGGTTGTGGATGTGGATGTGGATTGCGCTACTGATTTCCTTACTTCCTGATTGAGATTAAAATTATACATGGATGGATGGGATGGGAAGAAATCGGAACAGGATCGAACGGAACAAAAGCCAGTACTCATACACCTCTTCTAGACCACCGTGTCCCCACGCATGATCCATCCCCCTCGCAAGCAGGGACCGGACCGGACCGGACCGGGCGACGGGGAAGAAGGAAGGAGGGAAGAGGGAAGAGGGAAGGGAAGGAAGATGAGGGAAGAGAGGGCAAATGCAAATCTAGCACGCGCGTGGAATTCGATAAGATGAACATTCGCTCCTTCTCCCCCTTTCCATCCGTCGTATGCAAATGCGTCGTATGCGTCGTATGCGTCCCAGCGTCCCAGCGTCCCAGCGTCCCAGCGTCCCAGCGTCCCAGCGTCCCAGCGTCCCAGCGTCCCAGCGTCCCAGCGTCCCAGCGTCCCAGCGTCCCAGCGTCCAATCCACCCAATCACCCTCGTCAGTACTCTTTCTTTCTTTCTTATCGGAATAAACAAACGAACGAACGAAAGAGTGTGTGAACGAATAAACGAGCGAGCGAGCGAGTTATGAAACCCCCCCCCAACCCCCGGCAGAACGGATCGTTCGTTTTTGGAATGCGCGCTGGGAGAAGAAAGAAACGAGGCAGTGCGTTTGCGAGTACGTACGTAGGTAGTCCATAGGGTGAGGTTGATGGTTTAGTTACTTTTTGCCCGTGGGTGTATGGATAAGGTGGGTGAATGAATAAGGTGGGGAAGATGGAGGTGGAGGAGGAGGGAGGGAGAGAGGGAGGAGGAGGAGGGAGGGAGGGAGGGAGAGAGGAGAGGGAGGGGGAGGGACGGACGGAGGGAGGGAGGGAGGGAGGGAGAGAGGGAGGGAGGGATGGAGAGGGATGACTCGGTGGGTTTGACTGACTTACTTACTTACTTATTTACGTATGCGCTGTCCTGTCCTGTCCTGTCCTATCCTGTTTCCACGGCTGGCTGGCTGGCTGGACATGGATGCGCTCGGGGTGTGAGAAGCCTATGCTGTATACGTCCATCGGTACTGTACTGTACCTACTGCAAGCATGGCACGATTGAGTGAGTGAGTGAGTGAACGAGTGAGTGGGTGAGTTGGAGTCGATGATCTGAAGCCGGCGGTGGAGAAAGGGTGATTGGTGTATCTGCTTTTTGAGACGGAGAGGCGGGATTTATCGGCGGTGATGATGATGGTATGGGACGGGGATGAGGGGTTCGAGGTTGAGAGTTGAGAGGTTTAGGTGTTGAGGGTTGAGAGGTTAAAGTGTTGAGGGTTGAGATGGGGAGGGGAGATTTGGATGGACCGGACTGGACTAAAGTGTAGAGTTGAGTTTTTCGTATATATATATATATATATTTTAAGGAAGATTGTGGAGGATGGGGGATGGAGGTTTGGACACGGTGATTGCGGAGGTGAATCTTCTATTTCCCGTCTCATATGAGAGGGAGGGCTGTCTTAAATCAGTGGTATGGATATTCCTGTGTGGAATGCTAAGTAGCGTGAGCGGTTGTTGCAAAACCTTAAACAACTCGAGCATCGTGAATACAACCAATGCTGAGAACACGTTCTTGCAATGGTATCCCATATTTAGAACGGTGAGTATCACTCAACTGCGAGAAGAGCTCGACAAGAGGGTAAGTGATGACGATGTTTTTGCTTCCGTCCCTAGAATAGATTGTTGAACAGATCGGGCTTTGAGAACGACGGTGCGGAATGGCATGAGACATTCTCCTCCGTCTGGACACCGAGACCTGGATGAGAAGTCACGCAAATCGCACTTGACCAGTCCGGTGACATGAGTGGGCTTTCCTCGCTTCTTTGCTTCTTTGATCGCCAGGCTGGGATATGGAAAAACGGAGCCTGATGTTTTCGATGGCGGTGTGAGAAGATCTAATCTGCGCTTCGGATTTCGGCATTGGAGAACGGGGGCATTTGAGATAGGGAAAGGCGAATACATGACATTGATTCGTAAGAGCTTTTTGAAAAAGGCTGGGCTGTCCTTCCCTATCTCACATTCTCTTATCCCACCAATCCCCAGTCTACCTCCCAAACATCTAAACTCCTCCTACCACCACCATTCCCAAGTACAGTCTTCAGGTACCCACGGCTCACCCAAACATCCGTAACACGTGCCCATGTCACATGTATGACTACTCCTCTTGCTCCCCAAAAAGCGCTCCCTGGCCGACATCATCACCCCTTTGTACTTTGGTCCATGGAGAATCCGCCGCCCTGCTTCGAGCCTCGTGTACCCGCGAAGCGATTTCCGATCGCGGAAAGCCGCGTGGAGCTAGCAGGTCGGTCGCTGAGCGCTTGATATCACCATCTTCGGTGCCGGGGCGGCTTCAAGGGTTGAGACACTCGTGAGAGTTTGAGGCTTGGAGCGGACTAAGGCGTATAGAAAGGGGCCGGCTTGGCTCGAAGTTGTGGATTCGTGAAAAGTCCCCAAGTGGTATGGGTAATCAATGTTGATGGGTAATCTTGCTTGTTCCTCGTTCGAACCACCACCTCTCATGCAATCAATTTTCTTGTTCAAAACAGAACTCGAAATACGGAGCTACCACTTCTGATACCCTTGAAAATGACAGCATCAACGGACCCTCCTGCTCCGGGTTCTTCATTCCCTCGCAGAGATCACCAAAGCATCATCAACAATGATATCGAATCACAACTAGAAGAAATCGAGCAGACACCGCTCCCACCGACCGACCGAGGAAAAGCGGCCTGGCTGGTCCTCGCCGGATGTTCCATCATCCAAGCGCCAGTCTGGGGTACGCAATGGAGATTGAACACGGCGGGCTACCAATCCCGTCATGTACTAATCTCAGCGAGCAAGATATTCTCTCGGTTTCGGCGTCTTCCAGGAATATTACATGACGCTGCCTGATCTCAAAAGGAGACAAGGCCAGTATCGCTAGCATTGGCACCTCGGCATCCGTATGCATCTCCAATGTCACAGAAAGACCTACAGATCAAAAGCAGTCGGTCATGGACGATGGTAACTGACGAGTATATCCGTACCGCAGGGGATCCTCTACCTTTCCGCCCCCTAACCTTCACCCTTTTAACGCGATACCCCCTTCTCCGCCCCTTCTTCGGGCCCCTCGGCCTCTTCGTCTCCACCACCGCTCTCATCCTCTCATCCTTCGCCACCTCCACCTGGCAGCTCATAGCCACCCAAGGCGTCATCTGCGCCCTCGGCAGTGGATTTCTGTAGAGTCCGACAACACTTTATCTCGACGAGTGGTGGATTCGACGAAAAGGGCTGGCGTACGGACTCATGTTGGGGAGTAAGAGCGCCGCGGGTGTGGGATTGCCGTTCGTGATGCGATTCTTGCTGGACAGATATGGGTTTCGAACCACGATAAGAGCGTGGGCTGTCGCTTCCGTGCATCGTCCGGCAATGCTCCCGTTTCACTCACATCCATACATACGTTCACTCATTTTCTAGATCGATCAGAAGCGCTAACGATCCAACCACCCAGCTCGCCCTCACCGCCCCCCTCCTCTACTTCCTCCGCCCTCGCATCCCACCGCCAAGCTCAACCTCCCCACAGCGGCTTTCGTTGTCCTTTCTGAAACTCCAGTCCTTCTGGATGCTGCAAAGGGGCAACATACTCCAATCCCTCGGCTACTCCCTCCCGACCACCTACCTCGCCTCCTACGCCCGCGCCATCGGCCTCGACGCCACGACCGGCACCCTCATGATCGCCCTGCTCAACGCGACCAGCGTGCCCGGCAGCGTCCTGATCGGCATGCTGGGCGACCGCTCGCACGTCACCACCGTCATCTTCGTCTGCACCCTCGGCTCGGCCCCCGCCACGCTCGTCTTCTGGGGCTTGGCCGACCGGGTCGCCCTCCTGGCCGTCTTCGCCATCCTGTACGGCTTCTTCGTGTTGAAATTCGGATCACGTGACTCTTGGCGTCTTGGCGGTCACGTGATATGGTCACGTGACACGCCTTAGCGTGTCCGTATCTAGTCGCTCTTTCCTTTATAGTAACTCTATAGTTAATAACTAAGTATCTTATCTTATATTTTTATAGATTATAAATTCGAGCTTTACCCGATA